AAATTTGCACACAATATTGTAAATGAGGATTTACAAGTGCAATTCTACACTTTTAACTGTTTTCATTAATTCCTAAGATGACTTTTGCCATTATATATTTTTTTCTATATTGTGCAGGAGATGAAAATGTAAGTTATATTTCTATTTTTCTGTAAATTAGTCTGACATGAATTGCATCTTGTAAATGCCTGTTAACTAAATCATATGGTTTCAATCAGACACTTTCTTGGACTCAAGATTTTTTCCTTTTCCTTGGATTTGTAAATGTGGTAGACCTGATTGATCAGTAAACATCTGGCTCATATTTGTCTCCTTTATGTACTGTATCTCTCTTTTGAAGGTCTTGCCGAAGACCTTTAATGAAGATAATCTCCTAGTCTCTTTCTACGTCATGGTCTCTTAATGAGAAATCATTTAAAACTCTGTGTTTTTTATTTTTTTTTAATCTTTGTATTATTTCTATTTTTTGCTTTGCAGAACATTCACTTACAATGTTTGTCATTCTCTTCTCATCTTCTAAAATGCATTTACTTCTCTTATACTTTTTTCTTTGCTGATCTTTTCATTGAATTCATTTTAAGAAATGAATCAGAGGATCAGTATGAACTGAAAACAGAAGGCAAACAGTCTTCAAGACCACACGCCAATACCTTGAAACTGCCAAAATAACACAGAGATACACTGATGAACTAAATGAACAATCTCCTCAAGCAGGATCAGCACTAGACAATATTCAGGGTTTAGACTGTGCACTTCAGATTATAATCTGAAGTAATACATTGCAATTTAATTAGAAATTAAATTAGATATTATTCGGAGACAGAATAGTTTAACAAATTTCTGCACTAAGCTAAAAAGCTTTGAATGTTCAAATATTTGCAATTACCTTCAGAGTCTAGTAGAATCGAGATATATTTTAAAATATCCCATCAAATACTTAAGTACAGTAGCTTATACAATTGTGAAAGTACAATTTCAACTTTTTATGTCAGAAATCAATAGATTTTTGGCTGTATGTATTTAAGTTGGAATCAATAAATAACTATTGTATACGTTTATTCCTAAATTAAGACAATGTTGCCTTTTATGCTGTGAAAGGTGAATATATCATTAGATTGTGCATCTGTAATGACTTTCATGATCTGCAGAATGTCTCTGTCACTGTCCAGAATAATCATGCCTTAAAGATAGCTGGTGGCTACTCTACCCGACTCTCTAGGCAAATAAACTGTCAACTGGCATTTTTCACTTTCTCAGTTAAGAGCTGACAGGAGTGAGGAGGAGCCTCAGAAACAATCCGAAAATTGAATTATACACTTTCCTGGTAGATGCCCAAATTATTTGTAACAAAAAAAGCCTCTGTAGCTTTGTACGATATCTACTCCTTCATGCTTGATAGTACCCACAGCTGTAAAATTCTCTGAAATCCATGACATCAGAGGATCATTTGCCTTCCTGTTCAAACTAGTCAAGGCCTTTGGTGTCAGTGCACTTCATAATGTGGGAGCAGAAGGAAGGAAATCATTGCTTTTTCTTGTTGAATCATCGAACCATGCTGAGCATTGATATCAAGGTTGCCATCACCGTTTTGCAGGTAGTAGTAACAGTAAGTACATTCACAAATTTGTTTGCATTGTGTCAATGATGCATAATAGCAAATGTTGCAAATCAGAAATTTAGAAATCATGCAGGGAACATAAAGTACAAGATATTGTAGGGTTTTACGTTGGCGATGACATTCCAAATAGCCCCTAAATAATCACATTTCCAAATAAAATAGAAAGACTATCTTTAGTTTTTAGTGGAGAGATATTGTTTATATAGTGAACAGAGTAATTCTATTATAGTGCTGCTATGTGAATTTGACAATATGTATTCAAATTGTCGGATTTACACACCTTTTTGTAAATTTGTAGCTATGGAGGGAGTGATACCCTGAGTGATGTTATGCCCTTGAATTTTAGTGTGCAGTGCTTAAGCATGTAAAAAAACACTTTAAAAATTGATAAAATTGTGTTATCATAAAAGTGTGAAATGTTTTGGGATATTGATATGTGGGATAAATTATATGGTGTGTGAAATAGTTCCGTTGAAAGGAAATATTGATGTTTCGACATTACCATAGACTGGAAATTAATTTATCTGAATATGCTTCAAATATTAGCCTTTAAGGAGTTTAATTAATAGTGTCCACAACATTTTGTAACTCCATTTCAATTTGCTTCATTCTCAAATTAATTTGAAACAATTTACAATACTATACTAAATGCAGTATAGCGAGTCCAGACAAATCAACTGAACTGAGAGAGATATGAAATGATTGTTTTTTTAAAAAGACAGTACAAGGATGAAAATGTCAAATTCTTATGCCACTCTAGTTGTTCTGCAAAAAAAAACATACTAGTATTTACAAAGAAAGAGCCATTCAGACTGATTTGTAAGAAGTTCCCTATAAGTTGACAATTATTATTTGAGTGTGTTGTTGTCCAAAAGTGTTTTAAGATCCTAGTGGACTCTTTTCCGTTCTGTTTATTACTTACAGTATGTGTTTGTTTTTGTCTGCTTATCTATTGCCGTTTATTTAGTACTTGCATTATGCTGTTGATTCACACATGACACGCCACAAAAGAAATTGGATTATTGCTTCATTTTCTATTGAGGAGGAACACCCAGGCCCTTTTCCATATCAATTGGGAACTGTAAGTATATTTTATGCATAAACAATATTGGAACAGTGCATCATATTTTTGTTATCTGAAATATTCAAATACAAACTTGTTTCACCATAAAGACCATTTATACTTTACTGTACTGGTTGAGAAACAGTAGGTTTTCTAATTGACAGATTTCGGTTGAAGTTTCTTTCATATTTAATAGGGGTTAAAACAGAGATTTGCTCTCTGGGTACCAGAGAGCTGTGCTTATGGAGAAGCTATATCTAAGGTGCTCAAGGAATTTCTGACGACAAAACAGAGATAATGGTATAGGATCCACCATATACAGCCTTAGAAAGGTCTTTCAGCATTCAGCATGTGTATCTTTCTGTAAGGTAGCCACCTAATTGAAAGAATTAGATTTTAACTTGTTTTAAAACCAAATAACACATGAGAGGTTACAAACCGGGGGAGAACACTTGGTCCTCATCATTCACCTGTTCATCCAATGAACTACATCTGTCAGTTTTGAGTGCATGAACAGTTTTAATTCAGTTAGGTTGGTGCAGTGTTCATTTTACATGTATCATTACTACAGTAAATCAGTAGCATTTTCTGTATTATAGTTTAGATTACATAACCTGCTCTTTTTTCTCTTTTCTCAATGCCAGATTATAAATAATATATAAATAAAGTAAACTTGTTAACTTTTTTCTCATCTTATATTCCCACATATGCCTGTGGGGTAACAATTATATACAGGTGTAAATGTATATAATGGTTTATCCACCATTAGGGTTTGATTGGCAATTTTTCCCAGTTTCCCAAAACCTACACAGAGCTCAGGCAGATGGGCAATTCCGATGCAATAAAAGATTAGTCATGTGATCCAGTGGGACAGCCACAGTATTCAGGCTCCAGGGGGTTATTTCACTGTCACAGGCACTGTTTTTGTATCTGTTTTTACTTGTGTAATTTCACAAATAGTTAAAAAATATATAATTGAAATTCACCCAACTACTGTATGTAACAGTATGCTCACAGTGGTCAATCAGATTCTGGTCTTGAAGTGAATTGCTCTTCCCCCAGATTATTCATGAATATAACTGCCATACTGTTAAATGTATTTCTATGCATTATCTTCATCATTATTAAATTGCTTCTTAGATAAATTTAGAACGGGAAAATGGGTTGAGATTCAAACTAAGGGGCAAAGGGGTTGATGAAGACCCAAAGGGGATCCTGGGCTTTGATGAAACAACCCGATCCGTCATTGTGTATGGATCAATAGATTACGAGGAACACCAGGCTCTGAATGTAAGTTAAAATTTATTATTGGTGTTACATTGAAACTGTATTCATTAATGACTGGGAAGTGAACCCTCACATAGAGGTGTTTATTGGGTCTGTTTGCGATGATGCAATAGCCCCTGTATTTCAGCAAAGCAATAGCTGCCAGTTTGCTGTCTTTGTTGTCTGATGTGTTCATGCCTACACATACTGTGTATACTGTGCCTCATATTTAAAAGTATATATAAACATCTTGACAGTGGTGGCAGTTGAGACATTACACAAAGACAAGGGAATCTGAGTCACTTTTTTAGTTCCAGGGCTCTGCTGTCACTAAACTAAATCAAGTATCATTCCACTTTTCAAAAGCACTCCCAAACACAAAATTTGAGATGTTCATTACAATACCAGTCATACATTAAGAACTGACATTTTGTAGGTATTGTTTTCTTCCATCATATGTTTTAATAATGCGTTGTGACCATCTCCTCGAACATCTGTTAAATCTTAGGACAAAGTACAGTACTCTGTCTTTTCTATTGTTGACCAAGAGCCATATTCCCCTATCTGTGTTACTCATGTGCATACTGTAGCTGGCACTCTGGCATGCTGCTTTGCTATACTGTAGTATTTCCTGACATTTCTGATTAATTAGAACCCATATTTCCTTTAATCCATCATTTCAATCAATAATAATTATCTACCATGTATTTTTCTTCATCTCAAATACCTATAGCTAACAATTGAAGCTACAATTGATGCCACTAATGTGAAGTATGCACAACTTGGAATTGAGATCATTATATTGAACATAAATGACAACCCACCAAGATTCCAGTGGGAACGTTATGAAACAACCATTAAAGAATCAATGGTTCAAGGTATTATTTTATTTTTTATGATAAGACATTACAGAGGCATATCCCAAGAACTAATACATTTATAATAAAAAATCTGTTGCTTAGTATTTGAAGTACTATTCCTCCGAAATATATTCTCTTTTTTAACAAAGTTACAATCTGGGCAATATATCACAAACTGCAACAGCCATCTTATTTTGCATTATTAATTCCAAAAATCTAATCTCAGTTAAATCAAGAAGTATCAAGCTAACTCTACTGCATTTTATTGGGCTTAAAAATGGAAGACTGGAAAAACTAACTCACACTTCAAAAATCTGCTGTACTTTTTCTTTTAACAAATTAAGGTTTAGTCAAGCTATGCATCCAAGATCATTTGTATATGTATACTCCAAAACCTTCAAACTTTCAATTGTTTTAAAATACTTTGGGGGCTAAAACTCACTAGTCAAAATGAAGTCCTCAGTGAAGCACATTCCAAATTTTTAATTAAGAAAGAGAATGTGTAATTGTTCTGGTTGGGGACGGTGATCGATGTTGGTCACAGATTCCTCAAACCAGTTACACACTGCCACCTGTGCACCTGACTAGGGCTTCCGAATAATTTGGCCATTGAGTGTATATACTGTAAATACCTACTGCATAATCGTTTAATTACTGTAGGCCTTTACTTACAACTTTGTTTAGTTTATTTACAATTATTTACACTTTTGTCTTCTTTTGAAAGGGCAACGTCTGATAACTGTATCAGCAACAGATGCCGACTATTATAAAACTCAAACTTCCGATATTTCTTATTACATTGCTTCAGTAACCTCCAACACAGAAGATATAGAGTTCAACGTTAGTAGAAATGGCACCATTTCCTTCAGATTCCATTTCCAAACCATATAGTGAGTGAACAGTTTGAAGATGTTACAACACTATGGCTTGTAGGCCTTATTAGGCTTATTCATCAATATCAACTTGCATGATAGATCTGGGCTACAAACAGAGTTATACTTGGTGACAAACAATGGAAAGGTATAATAATAATTTTAATAATAATCTCTAATGAGCCAAGGTTTGCTGATGGCAAACTCTATGCACATCAGTAAGAGATCAGTTGGGGGGAAATGGTGTGATGTGTTAGGGTGCAGTTACGTGTTCCAATCGGAATATATTGTACAGAGTAGTCCCACTGCCAGGAACTATAGCTGAACAATATTACTGGACACAGCAGACACTTCACGCATTCATTAGTAGATGTGTAGATTAACATGTGGAAAGAACACCAGACATTATCTTTATTGTATTTGCAAACTAGAAATTATCTTAATTTTCTTCAAAAGCTTTTCTTTGTTACTTTCTCTCTCAAGAACAGCAATGCTTTGGTAGGAACTATAATATTACATTAATGCCATAAAGTAACAGGTGATGAAGGGTAGATTGCTGGACCAAGATGTATGGTAACTAATAGTATAAAGTGTGCAACACTGATTTAGCTACATATTACTCAATTCAATTCAATTAATTTTAATACAGCACCTTTCACAACAAGGATGACCCAGGGCACTTAACAAAGCTGTGTGACAGTACATGACATTACAGTACAGAAAGAGAAAAAGCCATAAGACAACGGAGGAGAGAAACCAAAAACTCCTCTGTAAGGAGAACAAAAACCTCTGGGGGTCAAAGATCAACTGGCTGCCCAACCCCTCTGGGCATGCTAACATTATTGAATTCTAAAAAAGTACTAAATGTGGAGTATTAAGTCATCCATCATGTCCTTCTGTGTGCCAGTACTCCATGCAGTCCTCTGTAGACCAAGAAATCCTCCTAAACAATAGCTGAATTCGTGATGTCCCTCTTGGATCCATGGCAGTGATGCAGCATCCAACTCAGATGGTGCCCAGCTCTATATCTGATGCATATCAACACATTCCGGTGAAACATTGAAAATTCTTCATATTTTTATGTCAGCATTTTTGAATGGTGTTATTTGATTTATGTTACAGTTACTTTTTCAGTTCTATTGCACAAAGTTGAGTTGGAGATGCACTCTCCAGACATTGACTTAATAAGCTGGGAATGACAGCTTTAACCATAATTAAAAAGACTAATCTTGGAACCAATAACATTTATTTGTTGTGATATTCCATTTCCTGCATTTTTTTCTTTGAATCGGCAATAGCCCGACATCATATCTGCAAAGACACTCCATTAGCACAAATTACAGACAGAATGGAAAAAAGCCACTGCTAAACATCCTGCTTGTACATGACCTACCATAAAGTTAATAAGGTTACATTTTGTGTTTGTGGTATGTTGCTATTGCAAGTGCTTGATTACCAATATAATGCATACATTAAAGTACATCGTGGCAACTTAAGATGATTGTTTCTTTTTTTGTGGAGGCTACATTCCAGAATTTACAGAATAAGGACATAAATACTCAGGAAGATGGTATTTTCATTAAGATATTGTTTTCCCTTCTATGTCAATATTCTGGGCGTTTGTTCCATTGAAAGAAAGTCCTTTTTGTTTTGTCTTTAATTTGACAGTCTAGGCTCTAAGCTTTCCTGGGCATAATCCCTGTGATGGACCAGTGTTGGGGAGTCAGGTATTCTCTAGTCTGCTTACTAGTGCAGAAACCAGAATGAGTTTCTTATATCCTTGTTTTTATCATGTGATTATAACATTGAATACGGTATAGAAATAATGCAGAATTTTAAACTTAAAATATAGAAAATATAGAAATGTGCTGAACCTTCAGTAGCTTGTGATGTAAACAGGGAATCAGTTTGGCCACATCCATCTGTTTTTGTTTTTTATTTTATTTTTTTTTTGTTTGTTTTATTTACCATATCAACATATAATGCTCCTTCACATAAACACATTGACAAACCTAAGCATCTCAAAAAGCCAAAAAAAAGCATCAGCCTCTCAGGGCCCCTGGCTAGCAACAACGCCTATCCAGGCACATTGCCAGTCAACATTCGGGTTCTTAGCCTCTGGAATCTTTTGACTGTGGGAACAGCCCTCCGCACAGCATCTCTCCGAGGGCAGCCACACCTCCGTGAAGCGCATGCAGTTGATCTCACTGCCCAGGTGCTGCTGGGAGGTGCAGTCCAGGAACTGAAAGGTCTGGTTCTGAAAGCGGTGGTAGTGTATGGACAGAGATTGGTGGGCATAGATGTGTAGACTGGAAGTCCAGGAGATTAGGGCAGCACTCAAAGAGCACCATCCATATAGCTGTCTGATTCTAGTATGCTGGTGAAGACTCTATAGTTGTGACTGCTGTCACCAGGGTCTCCATCTCAGCCAGATAGGTTGAGGTCTCCATCTCTTTTCTAATCACTTAATCCAATTCAGGGTAGTGGGGGAATTGGAGCCTATCCCAGCCACGGGTACAAGGTGGGATTCACTCTGGATGGGATGCCAGTCACAAACACACACACTCTCACAGCGGCCAGTTTTCCCAGAAGCCTGTCTAAGCTCATATATTTTATTAAACCATCTGTGAGTAACAAATAGGTATCATTAGTCACCTTAGTCATGAAGGTCTTTATTGCCAGTGCCACACTTACCTTTTATGTTTTACAAATGTTTTTATGTAATGCTTTTCAAAATTAATATTTACATGAATAACACTGTGAATCCCCTGCATATTAATTATTTCTCATGTACAGTGAATTATAGTAATTGGAATGCTTATCAATTTATGTAGCAATATTCTCCAAGAGCTCTGGGTGTTGCTAGGTTGTCCATAAATTAAATGCATCGCTATAAAGAGCACTGTTTGCTTTACCCCCAAGAGATAGTCTAACACAGGAAAATCACATCTGCCACATTTATCATCTGTCTGCACAAAGGTATCTGGAGTCAGACAGAATGACGTTACCACCCATTACAAAATATTGATAAAAAATGAAACTTAATGTTAGTTTTAGCCTTTCATAACAATATCCAGAGATACTTTATCTAAGCAGGAGATACATGCTCATTGCTACTCATTTAATTGACTCAGAAGGAAAGATTGTGATTTAAGTGCACCACTCACATGTACTTTTCTGTGCACCAGTATTCTTAATAAGATTGAAATTAATTTTATTCAGACCTGGCTCTGATCTTGCTCGTACCTTATTCCATCTTTTTAGGGCTACATCTGCAGACTCTGATCTCTTACACCATGGTAAGATACAGTAATTAACTAAAATTGTGCAAGATGGAAAAAATTAGCAGAGATAAAAGCAAATGAACTTTTTTTCAAATTATTGTAGGACTGGTTTTGCTATGATTTTAGTATTAGTATTAGCATTAGTGTCATTTCCATTCAAATGATAATTATATACTTTTATTGTACATCCACAGAATTAAATTTACAGCCCCTTTAATTAAGCAAGGTACTGCAAGTATGTTCATGCAATATATTGTGAAACAGGTTTAAATTAATGATAAAGATAATTATGTTGCTTGAGTTTCTTGTCATACATTATTGCATCTTGTGATTTATATTCGAATAAGGACATTCAATATCAGTGTGATGTAAGAAGTCTTTGGAGTTGTTGAAGTTGCCTCAGTTAACAATGTTCAAAGTCGTGTTTGAGATAAATGCTCAAAATAAAAGCAAGTAATATATGTGTACAGTTTAATTATTATGTATACTTAATTATACAGCTTGATTATGTGGGGCAACCAATATCAATCACAGCTGCCTGTGATGTTAGTTATCCAGTTTTTCTAATTTGGTAGTCTTCCTTGTTAAATCGAGTATGTTTTGATTATTTCCTTTTTCAAGAGATGAAAAGGGAAGCACAAAGAGCACTTGCCATGAGAGAGACATGCAGTTTTGATCTGTTGACCTTTTTTCTCTATTAAAATAACTCGTTAGGGTTTTCGGAACTGTCTACTTAATGTCATCATGAACAAATGACCAAGGATGACTTGAAAATGAATTGTTTGGTACTTTACAGATCCACTGTATGACTGATGTAAGTTATTTAAGCTTTTTCTTGGTAAAACAAAAACATTTCCTTGTGAATTCCGAATGTATATCTTCAATATTCATCTGTGAACTTCCATTTATATCTATCCTCAGCTAGCTTTTTCCAGGAAGCATAATGTTTTTTATCTTGTTTCTCAGGATTAAGTCTGGTCTTTCCATGGTCTGCCTACTGTGTATCAGACGCATTGCTGTGACATCATCCTCTGCATGATTTCTGACTCTTGTTTGTGTTTTAACACATTAATTTATTTTACTGTCTTTTCTTGGCATTCAAAACGTTTCCAGTTTAAGTTTGAGTAGCCATTCAAAGATAGATTATTTTAATCAATACAATAACAGTGAAAGCTACCAACATATTCTGTCTGAGATCACCTAGTTGCTATCAACATTATTGATTGAAGGCAGTCTGATTGTGAGAGATGAGAACCACAAAATTGCATTTGTAAAGCTTGGACGACAGAGTTTCTCCACACCAACCCAAGAACATGATATCCATACGTATCATCTGCATAATCATTTTTAGAGTGCAGAATACAAATAAATTATTTTTTGCAATTCCTAACCTAGTCTAATGTAATTTGCTTCAATTTACATATAACAACCACAAGTGTGTAACATCACTTTCATTTCAATTGTATGTCTGAATTCTAATATTGACAAAACAAGCCGATGAAATAAAGGGATAGCATGCTTAATAATTTGGCTTTAAATTGCTTGGCTCGTTGGAGATCAGCACTGTCATAAGAGAAAAAAATTTGTGCAGTGAAGTTGGGGTATTGGGAGGGTAAACCTCAGAAAGGGGTGCTGGGAGGGGTGCAAGAAAAGATGCATGCAGCCAGGGATCTTTTATGCAAAAGGATGCCGAAGTGCAAGATTAGAATATGACTCTCACCTGAACTTCTGTTATATAACATCATTTAATGTATTACTGTAGGTAAAATTATAATAATGGCGAATAACACAAATAATGTAAAGGGGATAGAGTTATTAATAATTTAATGCTTTTATAATTTAACTTAATGGTTTTCACATCTGGCCCCAAACGAATTCCCAAAACACTGACACAGATGTATAATGGTCAGTTAAGAGCAAGTCGGTTTGGTTGTATTTTTACAGGAAGTGAGTAGAATGTGTGTGTAGCAAGAATGCATGAGGAGTGCATATGATGCAGGTTTGAGCTTGTGTGAATGATTCAGATTCAGATTTGTGCATTTCAAAGGAACATTTCTCAGTAAATGAAAAATATGTACTGTATAACGTGGGTGACAGAACAAGAGTCAGAAACAGGTGTCAACACTAGTAGCCAATACAGACAAGTATAACTCACAATCTTGAGATTGGATCTCTGTGGTGGAAGAGTTGCCTGACATGGAAGCTAGATGAAAGCTACCACTTTCTGAGGTTTACTAGATGGAATGGATGAGAATGTCTTCCAGACAACATCGACTTATGCAGCTGACAGCCTTGGGATGACAGAAAAGTTTAGGGCCAACATTGTACAAGTTGGACACCAACTGAGAGGGGTAAATGGGGGTGGTGTCACCGTATCACATAGGGATGAATGAGGATGCCCAGATCCAGTGCAGACTAATGTCATGCACTTGTACCAATGAGGCAGAGTGGGAGCTGGTGACCAGGGGCTCCTGCTGGGATAGTGTAAAGAAGGATTGGGAAGAAGAGACAACATACTGTATATAGGTTGGGGCTGTAGGTTCATTGGATTAGAATGAAAAAGGAACAAAACTGCCACACTTGTTTGGAGTTTCTGGAAAGCTTGATTACATCAAGAGAACTTAAAGATAAAAACAGACAGTGTGGATTTAAAAAAGCTGCTTATTTTTAGTGTATGATTGATGTTCAAGAAGCTGAAGAGGGAAGAAAACAATTCTAGCCCTCATTTATAAGAGATTACAAAGCAGGTATGGTAACACCAAGTGTGAAATATATACTGTACTGTATGTCTGCAATGAGGCAAAATGTCAGGTGCTTGAAATATGTTTTGAATGTGCATTCAGGGAGCTAAACCTTTACCTCCAACCAAACTTCTGATTAATAACACCATTTTGAACCAATGTAATTATTGAATTGATAATTACAGTATTGTTCTTCTGGATTTAATTCACACATAATTACACTCTTGGCAATTCATCGATGATTTCAGAGGTTTCCATCAGTTACATACATTCAAATTCTTGGATAACCAGATGGTTAAACCCATTTTATTTATAAATGGAGGCCCTGGTAGTCTATAAACCTCATTCTCCTGCTTCTTTAAACAATATAGTTCAGAAAAATAGACAGTGATAGGCAACACAGTAAGTAAATATGTTCAATCTATATCTTTTGCTAGCTGTATCTTGCTGTATCACTTACGTAGTTGATATTTGCAGTTAAGTACTGATAAATATTTATTATAAAGAATAGGGGTTTCTGAGAAAATGTGTTGTTTTTTACTATTTTTCTGTGTAGAAACACAGAAAGGACAACAAGTCTCCACAATAGTATTGAGTTCATTGACTGAGCTCTATGCTGAGAAAGATTGTTGTAGAAAATGCTTACAATACACTACAGACAGGTCTTACCTCTTTTCACTTGTGCTTTACCTGAAGTGGATCATTGCACACTGCTTGTTTTTGCACAAAATAACAGTTTTAAAAATGTGTTTTACAAATGCCATACTCTATACATCTTTGTCTAATGCATTACCATACTTATCATTTCTTTTACATTTTCGATTGTCAATGCCTGAAAACTTTGCAATGTATAATTGGTTTAAAAAAATCTAAAAAAAAAGACAATTATCATATGAATAAGAATAAACCTTTTATAGAGGGGTCTACACCATGCATTTGAAGAATGCATACAGAGACCTCATTCCATTTGTACCAGAATCTACCTCCTGGCTAGAGCTGTGCCAACATCTTATTCTGGTATGATCATTTATGCTTTCATTCAAATTTTAACATTTAGCAAACATCATGTTAATATTCAGGTGGGTAGCTGCGTCAGCATGCGTAGGCTGCAAAGGAACAAGTAATAGGTTTATTCCATGCTGAAAAAAAGAAGAAAGAGAACACAACTGAAGAAGGCTCCACGGCCGAAACGTTGTGTTCTCTTTCTTCTTTTTTTCAGCATGGAATAAACCTATTACTTGTTCCTTTGCATCATGTTAATATGCTTCTTTAGTATTTGAATATATAGGTTTCACTTAACATCTGAAAACAACCATTTTATATTTCTTGTGAACATTTTTCTCGTTCACTTCAAATGAATAATATTAATGAGGGCAAGCTACCAGACTTGTGTCTCTTTATATAGGATAGGAACCTTGACAATTGTTTTCAACTCTAGAAAATAGCAAATCAAATGTAGGAAGCGTTTTGCAAGAGCATGATTTCATGACTTTCTGCTTGGTCATTTCTTCAAAAAGAATCAAAGGCGTCCTAATAGGTAGATAAAGGGAATTTTGTGTAAACAGCAAAGCATAGAGAGGAAGAGTGTTCAATTCTAGACCAATACGCACCGACAATGTCGTGTTCCACAACTGTTGTGCGTCTTGCAGTTCAAAACAACCTCCGCTGCATGGACGCCAAGTTCAGGTGTAGGTGGAAATAATATCAATCGAGGAAATATTCGAACTCTTTTTAGCATTCACTTTTAGCAAAATAGTCAGGTTTGCCAATGAAGAACCTACAGTATTTTTTGTGCCGATGAAACTTGAATGCCCCGAAGGAGTCTTTTCAGTGAAGAAGACGGAATTCGCATTTCTCGTGATATAAATATGAACCAGACAGGATATTTGGGAAAACTTGACAACGTATTTTCTCGCCCTAATCCTACAACATGGACCGTACTTATTATTTTACTTATTGCACTTCTGGTCGTCGTAATAGTTTTGGGAAATGCTCTGGTCATACTTGCTTTTGTAGCGGTCAGAAATCTCAGAACACAGAGTAATTTCTTCCTGTTAAATCTTGCAATATCAGATTTTTTAGTAGGTAAGAGTTTTTTAAACTACAAATGCATATTGAGATGTTTACCTAAAAAGGATTGAATGAAGTCTTCAGTTTGCAACGTATTTGTTGTTATTGTTATCGTTTATCTAGTAATGTCGTACATACAATATGTACACTTAGTGCGTAACTGACTTTGCTCATAGCAAAACTTGTCAGTCTTAAAACATGAGCTGTTTCAGGAGAAAGCATTCATGTCGTTTTGCTGCTACATCTCTGCCCGCAACCCGATATTTATTTTTTAGGGAAGATGTACAGTATTTTCTCAGAATTTCGAAATATGTTTGTGAGTACAGTTCTCTAATTGAATCTTTTCTGGTTAAACTAGGTGTGTTCTGTATCCCCCTCTACGTTCCCTACATGCTGACAGGGCGATGGACGTTTGGGAAGACACTTTGTAAACTGTGGCTGGTGATGGATTATCTGATGTGCACGTCTTCTGTATTCAACATCGTGCTCATCAGTTATGACCGCTTTCTATCTGTCACAGACGCCGTAAGTATCCAATAAAATGGTTAATCCCTTTATGATTAAAACCGGAATTTTTCCACTACCTAAGAAAGCTCCTAGTTGAAAATAACCTTAGGTATGCAGATATAATGTAAGAACAGACAGATTGATACCTATACGGATTGTTCGACCTAGTGGTCGTGTTGGTAAGAATGAAAAACTACATTGCACAACCTGTCACTAGGTGGCACAGAAAGTCATCTGACTGCAAAAAAATGTACCGAACTATGTCTTTCTGTCTGAAATCAGATATTGGAAGGAGGGCTCTTCCATTCCTATGAACAATGTTAAGTAAAGTTTGAGATAACAGAAGAAAGCACATTGAAGAACAAAGCATGCAGCATGCTTCTGAAATATCCGTTCTTAACTGATTATATTTTCCATTTCCTTGAGAAAAATTAAAGCAGTTTTGAGAACAAGACCGCTATGAGACAATAACGTCAGATTAAGTGAGACTGCATATGTTCTGAAATAACTTCACTAAAAGGGCTTTTTATTTTATCACAGGTCACATACAGAACCCAGCAAGGCAAGACTTCCCAGGCTATTACCAAAATGGCAATGGGCTGGCTTCTGGCATTTCTGTTATATGGTCCTGCCATCATTGCTTGGGAGCACATTGCTGGTTACAGCCTTCTTGAAAAAGAGCAGTGCTACCCCGAGTTCTACTTCAACTGGTATTTTCTAATCACAGCATCCACTGTGGAGTTCTTTATGCCCTTCATCAGCGTTACTTTCTTCAACCTGTGCATCTATCTTAACATCCATCGTCGTGCCTGCTCTCGCAGAAAGTTAGTGAAGGAGATGAATGAAGTACGTAGGCAACCTAAAAGAGCCAGCCTGTACCAGCTCTTCCAATCAGTGATGTTTGTGGGCCTGGAGGGCAGAACAGAGCTGCTCAAGCCCAGTACCATGGCACTTCGAGGCCAAGACACCACGAAGAATGATGATGGCAAGACCTCTCAGACAGCACCTTCCAATGAAAGCTGGATTAAAACTGTGCCACAGATGTATGGCCAGAGATCCAGGTTGCTTAAGGATAAAAAAGTTGCCAAATCTCTGGCCATTATTGTCTGTACATTTGGGGTTTGCTGGGCTCCATATACTTTGCTGATGATCATTCGAGCAGCTTTTAATGATGACTGTGTCCCCAGGTTTTGCTATGAAGTTACCTTCTGGTTGCTGTGGGTCAATTCTGCTATAAATCCTTTCCTGTATCCGCTTTGCCACAAAGCCTTCAGAAAGGCCTTTACAAAACTGCTGTGTCCAAAGGAGTTCAATGTTTAGCCCTGGTAAGGATTTAACGCTTCAAAACAATACATGGTAGAACTGGCCATTCACAATAATAAATTAGAAAAAGCAGTTGAGACAAGCCAGGTTCTGGACATTTTGCAGCAAACATAATTTGTTTTCCCCAAAATGAACTGATAGCATAAATGCTTTCAACAACACGTAGATGTTATTTAAAAAATATATATTTATTTCCTTTTACATTGTACATTTTACATTGTGTCTCTAGTACTGTACAGTGTGTATTTCAAATGCATGTGTGTAAAGGGTCCAGAGGGTGTCTGGTTTTAGTATCAAAGTGTTAACTTTCTTGTGTAGGAGTATTGTGTAGGAAAAGTCTTGTTTTCCCATATAAATGTTTGCATAAATAGTCCACAAAAAATAAAGAAGACATACTGTCACGGACGTCCAAAGGGACTAACCGTGGGGGGCAGGAGAGCGGAAAAAGACCCATATGCGTAGCGGCGAGGCGGGAAAAAGGCCCGGGCTTAGTGCAAAGAGTTCAGGAATGCCGTATAGAAACCTATGCCCTCAGGGAGCGGACGTGGGGCGCCCTGGTGCTAGGCGGGTCTCAGGACATCCGAACGTCAATGCTGAGCGAGGACAGAGTGCAAGACCCGGAAATATATAGCCCAAGGGAAAGAGAGGGACAGGAAGGACAGCAGAATGGGAATCTATGGACAGGACAGAGAAGGAGCGCCCTCTGGCTGCAGAGGGCGTGACACATACCTTGATCTTTTTACCCTGAATAATGGTTTAATAATTTGTCTTTTGTACTTGTCGTGTATTCAGCAGGACTGGCTAATAATATTAGACTAATTATTAGTACCGACTTATAATATATTATACTAATTTAACCTTCTACTAATAACACCCACCCTACAGCATTATAATATACAACTTATATACAACTACAACTATAATATACAAAACTACTGTAGGACAATACAACAACATAAACAGATCAAAAGATTTGAATAATCTAATTGTGGGGGTACACCCTGCAAAACTGCAAAACAGTAGTGTGACAGAAATAATCTTTTGTTGTATATACAACTAATTCTCCCATTGTTGTGAACATGGGAGTAAATGGTCTTACATAAACCTATTATTTCCATACCTTACTCCCATTAGTCTTTTTCATACCAGCATCTATTGTATTGTGTGACATTATTTCTTGTCCATTCCTCCATTTTCTAACCACTTTTTCTAATTCAGAGTTGTCGGGGAGTCAGAGCCTATCCTGGCAAGCAATGGGCGAAATGGGCAGAGTACACCTTGGACATGATGCCAGTCAATTGCAGGGCAAACACAAACACAGACGTGTACGCTCTCACACCAGGGCTAATTTTCCCAGAAGCCAATTAACCTACCAGTATGTCTGGAACTGTAGGAGGAAGTCAGAGCACCTACAGGAAACCAGTGCTAACATGGGGAGAACATAAAGACTGTATACTCAGAGCCTCCAGGTCCAGATTTGAACCCAGTGCTCCAGTGTTGCTAACCACAACACCACTTTACTACGCACTAGTTCTAGTGCTGGGGCTTTACAAGTCCAAAATACTGGACTAAATGGGGATCTTACTACTTAATTTATAGTTTTTGGAGCCTAAATGCAGATGCAAATATTCCTAGGGTTTGTTTTATTCATGGGTTTTTTTGTCATCATTGGAAAATGAAAAAAAAAACTATTTTCTTTTTCTAACTTTTTCTAAATCCTAAGAATAAACAGTCAAACAAATATCAGTGGTTTCAGAAATGTTTTTTTGATACAAAATAACAATGTAAATGTAACAATGTAAACAGAGATTTCTATTATCAAAATACAAGTGAAACTGGGCTATGTTTTTTTTTATGTATGGAGATAATCACAGGATTAAGAAGAAAAGCACAGCAGATAAACCAGATGCAATAACACTAATCAATCATGTAAGAATCACACTGCATTAGAAGTCAATAATATTAGACATTACTCAACAGGATAAATGGAAAACAGTATTTAAGAACACAAACACTGTAATTGAGTTTGTAATCATTATTTCATCTCCCAGTAGTATGTTTACTCAGCCTCGGGGACCTTATCAGTGTCACAAAGAGCACAGGTTTTACTGATCTGTTTGAGACTGACCAACACAAAAGGTGAATTTTCTCTTGTAAACAGGTTAGAACATTATTCAGACATGGACCAATAACATTTGTACCCTATTTGTATTTAAACACATAATATCAGGTAAATAAATCTACAGGGTGCAAGTGTAGAAAATATTTCCTTTACATTTTTTACCTTGAATATGAAGCATTAGGTAAATTTTTAAAGGAATAACACTTTCAAAATGAAACCCGAGATTTAAGATGAACATTAAATGGAATGAAGGTAGACTGATACTGTAAGTGCTTCTTGTGACAGATATTTAACTTGTAAATTAACTGTCATGTTAGAATAATAACGATTGACATGTATAATATGTGTGGTCCCAGTTTGCACAGGTGTTCAATTAAGACTCAATAGTACAGCTGGTTGGCATTTGGCATTGATCCCAAATTTAAACAGAAAATCTTGACTGACCTTTGTTGAAAGATTAATACGTTAATACGATTAAAACGTTCTATTTATTTTGGTGTTGCTGTTACTGTACAGTGTACAATAATGACTTGAATGGCACCTCCTCAATTACACCCCTGCCTTCAAACTCTTATTATTCTCTTATGCTAGTTGTGCCTATTTTACTAGTCTTTAAATCCCCATGTGCTTCAAATCTGGAAACAATGATTAATTATTTCACTTTGACAAATGGTGTGTAGTGAAGTAACTGAGAGTTTGGGAAGAAGAAAAGCTCTACATCCTTTGAGGGTTTTCAATATTACAACGTTAGAATGCAGTAACAGAACATAAAAGTGTACATTGTATGTGTACTACCCATTGAAGACAGATTGCTTGACAGAAATAACAGCTGCCTAGGCTACAGACTGTTGAACATTAAGTTCAACAGTCTGTTCTTGTTATGAAGAGAAAATAGTTGAAGTGGAAATGGTAAAATAGTACAATACCACAATGCAATAATTACCAGTATAAAAATACTTTGAATATACTTTGCATTACTTAAAATATTACTTTTCATTATATAAAACCAAGTTATAAAGCACCCATAAGAAAAAAATATATTAAGTTGCAATTTACCATTACACTGGTAATGTATTAGTGTTATTTCATATCGATGTAATTGCATGTTGACAGTTCTCTGTCAGTCTAAAATCTATCACAGTGCGCTGTGAAATATTTTGATATTTGACATTTTAAATTTTAACATAAATTTAATTCAAACATAGGCACTGCACTGCATGAAGTCATTATTGCTTTAAAACCTCAAATACAGACTAAAACCAAAATTGTAGTAGAAGAGGCTACTGCAAATTCTGTAGTGGAATCATACAAGCCACAGGAAGAAACGTTTGATTTGTCAGTGCAGTTTTATTCAGGAGTGTAGCCAGCTTGTAGAAACCACTGATAGGCATATAAAGCTTCAGGTGAGATTTCTTGTTCAGCCTGGAATCCCTTCTGTGGATAATCTCGAATTCTCTCCACAGCCCCTGAAAGAAACATGCAGTAAAAACCAGTGCAATTGATATCATTATGCAAGGAGTAAAACAAGATACACAAGATAAAACCATACAGGCACCAAGAGCAGTAGAACCTCAGAAAACAGATGCAGGTGGCGTTGCTAGCGGCTCTAGCCCTACCTAACATGTAGCCAATGAGACTGCTGGCACTGCCCACGGTGGGGTCTGGGTAGTCCCACAGGTCCAGGTCGGGAGAGGTGACAGTGGCGTGAACGTGCTGGTTTCCTGGCCACTGCCGAAGGAACGTCGCCAACACACGCCTCTCCATGAAGGGCTGCTGCACCAGGATCACCCTGTCAACTAACACGCCTTACATAAATCACAGACTCAGTGTGCACACATGCAGTACGCATGGAGCTCCCTGTGAGCTCCTCTGACAGCTGTGTACTATGAAGTCATGACATTTGCAGCACATACGGTACAAACTGAACTGGAGAGAACACATCACCACAGACTAAAGCGTTAACGCACCCAAAGGCCCTAATATTATCCATCCATTCATTTTCTGACCGCTGTGTCCAACACAGTGTCGTGGGGGAGCCGGAGCCTATCCCAGCAACGGTCATAAGGCAGGACACACCCTGGATGAGACACCAGTCTATGACAGGACACACACACACACTCGCACCAGGGCCAGTTTTCCCAGAAGCCAATTACAGTAACTTACCACTATGTCTTTGGACTGGAAGAGGAATTTGGACACCCAGAAGAAAACCCATATGAACACACAGAAATACAAACTTCCACCAGGAATTGAACACAGGGCCCCGGCACTGAAAGGCGGTAATGCTAACCACTGTGCCACTCCCTAATATTATATTAATATTAAAAATTACAGGGAAGGAAGTCTGCATAAATAATAACACCAAGGCAGAATATTTTGGTTTAATATGCTATTGTATCTACTGCAATTTACTTTTATAGCATGTATCTCTGAATCTAGCTGATCCAGTACTTTAAGCTTCCGGAGAAAAAGGAATTTTGTCACAGTTATCTTTAAACACCATGTGTTTATTTATTACACCTCCCCAAGCCTAATAGGAGAACCATCCCTAATTATAAAATTACCAGTACATCTGTCAGATTTCAGTCAGTGCTGTTTGTGCTCTACCCATTTATATGAAATTAACTAAATCAGCCGGATGAACATGTCTGAAAAATCAGCCTTAATCCTTTTCCTTTGCAATTGCTAGTGTAAATAATTCTGCAGGCGAAAGGCGCTCGGCCTGTTAGTAAATATTTCACGGTCTATGGCTTCCTCTTGTGGATTGTTTGTGACATTACACTGCACATGGTTCTAAACGGGCTGTGGTTCTAGCCCTAATGCCTGAAACCAGGGCAGAGAAAAGCTTGACAATTGGTTTGGGAGAAAAAAAAATAATGGTACGGTAAACGTATTGCCCCAAAAAAACAATACACCCAAGGACGCACCAGGAATATTGTGCTCCAGCAGCACTTGGAAAGAAAACCGGATGTTCTCTCCAGTGTTAGTGGCCTTCGTCTCCAGCAAGATCCTCTCCCTGGGCACTCCCATTTTCAGGGCCACATCCATGAAAATCTCAGCTTCCGGACGTTGCCAAACACCTATGCAAACGCAGCCACTTAAGAAGTTAAGATTTAAAAGGAATAGCTGTAGGGCTAGGAAGGCCACATTCCAGTTTGAAGAATTCTAGGAACAGGCAGGGAGGAGGGTTAAGGAGAGAGCACAGGACCCAGGTCTCCACTTCCATTTTTCCTGCAGTCCTTTACCAATATGGATCCCCGCGTGAGTGTCTAACCCCTATCATTCACCTGCGGTCTGCTTGCCTAGGTAGCCCGTGAAGAGCAGCCAGGGGGCCCATCCATCCAGGAAGAGCGAGGCCGACCTCTCGGCCACACGAAGGTCATGACAGCCCAGGCCGATTATCACATCGCTCTGAAAGGGAGAGCAGAGATTTGGAGACAAGGTGGGATTCTGCCGCGGCATTCAAGAGGTCAAAATGTTATTCTGGCCCTGCTCTCTGACAAGATGTGGGTGCCCTTTGGGTGTGTCCATTTGTTTTTCCTCTCTTTTCTTGAGTTTTTCGGGCAAAAGAGAAACAGCAAGCTGGGAAAAAAAATCCAAACCCTGGTGCCTAACCTTGACAAGGGGCTGGCGCAGTTGAAGGTAGTTCCACAGAACCCGCGCCCATTTCTGATACACATCGTCCATTCCCTTTACATGACGACCTGCAGAAGAAATACAGCCACAGGCAAAACACTCACGTTAGTGAGGAGCCCCACTCTTCCAGAACAGTCACTGCAAGCAATGCTGGTTAACTGTACCAGTGTAATTAACAGTGTCACCCAGTGCATTATAAACACTTCTTTCCAATATCTTTGATATTTCAGTAAGAAACTGACTTTTAAAAACTCACCATGACTCTCTAAGGATAAAGCAGTTACTGATAACGGACTGACATACTTTTATAAAACCATAGATAAATATTCCACAAGGTCCATTTTGTCATCTCTAGGTGATTTGAACTCTTAAATGTTACGAAGAAAAGCTCAGTCCTGAGAATTTTGTACAAGACAATAATGGCCTTGTGCCATTATTTTGGATTGCTAAGAAAGCAAAGAAACAACGAAAAAACAGAATAGATGGCTAAAACAAAAGAAGATGTCACAGTGATGTACCGTATTTCCTTTTAAAGTTTAGTACACAAAGACACTGCATACAGTCTGCAAGACACATGCTGGCATTTATGCAGTGATGCATATTTATACTATTTACTGTACTATAAATACTATAATGCACAGGCCTACCATTCAGCAGCAGTTTAGCATGATGTAGGAATAAAAGCTCACACATACGAAGAAAGCCTGTTCTTCTAAAGAAAATAATACAGTGCAGCACGTTTACGAGCGAGGCTGAGAAATCAATGGGAAGTCAAGGCACTTTCCATCGTAAAATATCTTTCGCTGAAATGTAATACAATCAGCCATTTTTTCTTCACCCTGCCAAAGAGAGCTTTACAAGAATGAAAGACAGTAAAAATAATTCAGTTATTAGTCAGTAGCAAAGACAAAATAAATTAAAAAACTGCTGTACCCATAGGTGATTGCTAAGATCAGATCCCACAATACCTCATGCGCCCTGACAGCACTGATAATGCAGTACAGAATTCCCCCGGTATTCTTCCATTCAGTTAAAAGCTAACCTCAGTGTTCAGAGCAGCACCTCCTTCCTAAATCACCACTGCAAAGCAATTCTTGCGAGAACCAAAGGAAAGGCTTTTGAATATCCACTTGCTAGCACACTTGTGCTTTTATGCTCAGGAAGGGCTGCGGGATTCCCTTTTGTTTTTATCATAATTGTGTCATCTGACCCGACACACAAGGTAGGCTACTCTGCAGCTCATCTGACCAGCTCCCTCATTAACTATCTGAGAGCCCAGTCAGCAGGAATGCAAAGTAAACATCTGCCTCTGCGGGGGGGGAGTGTTTTAAAAGCATGCCGCTTTTATTTTTCAGAAATGAACAAAACAGTAACAAAAGATAACCCCTACAGCCCTCATTCACCACTAATCTGGCTGCTGACAGCATTATTTTACAGAGCTGATGCTGTACTGTCCCTGCTTGTTTTATTTATATATGCAGTGCTATAGTATGTAAGTCTTACACATCTTAAACACAGGAGTTACAGTATATTTCTGTAAGCATCAAGCTTTTTCTCATTTTTGACTGATACCATTTAGGTTAGGTGAGAAAATCAAGCTTGTCATTAAGCAATCTTCAAAATCCTGATCTTAACAACTCTCAGTTAATTATATGTCAGCAGGCAATAGGAAGACAATCCATCACTTTTACCTATCAAATCTACTGTAATTGATCCATTCTTAGATGTACGTCATTAATAAAAAATTGAACACAGCAGCAGCAAAAGGAAAAGCTTTACACTCCCCATTCACCACTAATCTGGCTGCTGACAGCACTAAGAGCTGATGCTGTACTGTTCCTGTGTTTCATTCATACTGTATATGCAGTGCTGTGTACTGTCTTACACATCCGAGATGCAGTGGTTACCAGTCAAATCTAATCGATGTATTCTCAGGTGTTCCTTATAGGTGTTACAGGTGTTAATAACATCTTTGATTCCTCCCTACACCTACACTTCCACTACAAAATAACTGTTATCTTAAAATGTCTATAGGAAATGTTTGCATAGAATTGTTTCTGTATACAAAAGTATAAGCACTATGTAAAAATGCAAAATGTCTATGACAACACTATACTGTATGTATACATTAAATTATTCATCTGCATCAAACATACTCATCCAAATTCTGACTTTTCATGGCACATTCTGAAGCTAATGTCTGTTTTTGACAAATTCCTACAACATTAAATTGATATTGAATATATTATACAGTATATTAAGAGTATATTAAATTCTCAAAATATGTATCGTTAGGGATTTGTCTGTAACATCAAAACATTATTGTAGCCCTTTTAACAATTGTCAATAATACACACAAAACACTGGCTTTAGAAGAAAAGATCACATACTGTACACGTAAGTACATGTAGCATTTAGTTTATAAACACTTTATAAAATATCATATGTCAAAGAATGTGTCAATATCCAAGTACATACTGTATATCCATTTTCATCCGGTGGAGCTGGAGACTATACCAGTAAACAACTGGAACAAGGCAGGAACAAGGCAGGATACATCCTGGACAAGGCTGCAAGACAGCAAGCAGTGCTGCAAGGTGAATGCTAACCACTGTGCCATTGTGCTGCTTATCTATTCGTTATTATAAAAGGAGGTTATTAAAGATGAGAGTTACAGCAATTGTGGCCTATCCTGGAAGCACAGGGCACCAGGCAGGACCACACCCTGAATGGAATGCAAGTCCATTGGAGGACACAAACAGACAACTCAGGAACTTAAATTAACCTAACCAGCCTGTCTTTGGAAAGTGGAAGGAAACCAGACCACCTGGTAACAAACTCCTCTATTCAGCTGATCCAACTGCTAGACATGCAGCCTCCTCCTCCCTCACCGCTCTATGATCGTGCCTCCTGAAGCTCTGCACTCAGAGAGAGAGACGAGCCTCACTGATCCTCCCCACTCTACAAAAGAGCCCCTCTTTGGTTCAAGGGTATATGAGTAAGGAACTACGGCTCACTCATAAATTACTCGAAATGTAATTAAGTGAGTTAGTCGCTACACAGATAAGCATAAAAATCAAGAGTACTAAAAATAGAAAAGAGTCCATGAACAAAGAATAATCAAAATAATTTATTTGAACAAATTATAATGTACAATTCACATTCTAATTCACACTTGCATCTTAAAGCACTATTTAGAAAATACAAGAATTGTATGAGCATAAAAACCTGTTTACGTCCAATGCAATTTCACTTAAATTTGAGTTGTTTCAAAAGAAAATGTTTAAGGGAGTTCACTTAGTCTCGCAATGTACTCCTTCAAAATATCCATTAAATAACCAAAACCACAGAGAATAATGATGCCGGACTGGGTAGAGAGCGGAGAAGTCTTTGCACTTTTTTGGAAGATGGTGTTGGCCTTTGGGCTGATCACAGGCATATTGTTCACTTAGACAACGAGGGTTTTCCTCTGCGTGTTCTACCACGTCATAGGGCTCCCTCCTGCCCTCTCCTCAGTCAGCAGATACCCATCGTACAGCTCTCGGAGGTGCAGGATGAGCTCCTCTATATTGTGCCCAGTGAGGGCGGAAACAGGGATGACCCTCTGTGTCACGCGGCTCCTGAGGGCTGCCAGGTTGGCACGAGCCTCCGGGATGTCCACCTTGTTGGCCACGATGGCCTGCGGGCGCCCGGCCAGTCCCGGCTCGTACTGCTCCAGCTCGAAGCGGAGCTCCTGCAGCTGAGTCCAGGGCTCCCGCGCCGACAGGTCGAGGACGTAGATCAGGAATCGGCAGCGCTCGATGTGGCGCAGGAAAGAGATCCCCAGGCCGCGATTCCTGTGAGCGCCTCGGATAATTCCTGGGATGTCAGCAACTGTTCGGTAACAAAAGAAGAGACATATTGAAAAATAATACGCGGACAATTACAATTTAAAAAAAAAAATGAAAGTGTGAATCCCAATGAAGGAGAAAATGCTGGCAGGAATCTGAAGAACAACCTGTCCCCAGAGTGTGAGCCTGCGCTTGACAACACGCACCCACTCTGCCTGCATTCACTTCGAGTCCATTTAACTTACGGGAAACATATGGTACGGGGGAGAGCCATCCTCTTGTTTAACTTGGATAACTGGTATAAAAGATGTTTTGCTTTTGTTTCCCCAATTTTATTGGGAATGCTGCAAATAACTTCATGAAAATCATTCCACCACTCATTCCCTGGCATGTATTAGCTGCCTCTCAATCTCTGTAGCACTCTCTTCAAATCTCACCCTAGCAGCAAAAACAGAATAAAATTCAAGTACTGTACTAACATATGCGAATGCAAAATAAAACATAAATCCCCCAAAACTGAATTATCTGAGCTTGCTGAACCATTTCACCTCATGATAATTGAAACTTTTAAGTGCCCTGCACTGTCTAACTCCTGTTACTATAAAGCTCCACAACAGTAACACCCTAATTGCTATACACATATGCATACTATACAGATTATTCATGATCACAGCGAAGGTATTATATTCACATGTGTTTTGGTTTTTTATGCAATGTGTTTCGTTCTTGCTGAAAAATTTCAGGCAAATGAACGGAGTCTGCGTACCTGCAACCTGTTCATGGTCCTGGTACTGGACGATACCAACATGGGGATTTAATGTAGTGAAAGGATAAGCAGCCACTGCCGGCTTAGCGTTGGAAATTGCTCGCAAAAGGGAAGACTTCCCAGCATTTGGAAAGCCAACCTGAATACAAGAAAAACAGTGCAAATGATGTATAGAAATAAATCATCACAAGGTCAATTCAGCACATAAAAGAAAAAACATGCTTAGTGCTACATTATTAAGGAAAGACAATGCTGACATATCATAGCTGAACAGGCAAAAAGGTAAGTCTGTGTATTTAGTTACATTTATATAACACTTTTTTACCCCAAAGGCTCTTAAAGAGCTCTCCTTAGAGGAAGGAACCAACCCCTTTCTCCACTGAAGTGCAACACACACCTGGGTGATGCCTGGCAGGCATTTTGCAACAGCAGCTCAATGATACAATTGCTTAACAGCTTATCCAGTTGAGTTAGGCAGGCCAAACTGTGTAAGACCAGAGTAGGATATAGACAAGCCTGTATTAAGGTCAAGGTTACATCCTACTTGCATGAACATCATCATGGCATCTTTTATGTTCATCAACACAACTTGCAGCTATAACCTGGATTTCCCTGGAGGTCTCCCATCCAACTGGGCTGGTACTGACCAGGCCCAGGCTTTTCTAGCTGAAGAGACGTACAGAAATAGAACTATAAAAGTTATAGATACAGTATGTATTTTATATATTGTACAACTAACTGCAGTTTCTTACAGATAATGCCAATTGATGTACAAGAAAAACAAATGTGTAATGCACAAAAAAGTGAAGGATGTATGTTCAGATACAGTGTAGCTACATTACACAGCCTTCTTTGAGTAAAGGCAGAGAAAAGGCACAGCTTGACATGAAGAGCAGACTGAAATTTCAACATACAGTAGCTACAAGTACCCAATAGCTGTGGTACACAAATCAATGCACTAAGCTACTAATATAACATTTAAAGGAACTTTATCCTCAAAACAAGTCAAATGAACTCAAATTCTTCAGGCTTCCATGAACTAAGTCTACCAAAACATGTCCCACTCCCTCTTATCCAAGGTCTGTGTTGGCTCCTCAGTGTTCAGTCAAAGTGCTCAGTCCCTGTACCTCTCTCAACTCACCATGCCTGCGTGTGCCATCGTACGGAGCTCCAGATGCAGTACTTTCTCCTGCCCGGGCTCACCTGGAGTGGCTGTCGTTGGAGCCCGGTTCTCGTTGGACAGAAAAAAACGGTTTCCCTTGCCCCCTGCTCCACCGAATGCTGCGATGTACTCCTGGCCTTGCCTGGACAGATCAGCCACTATCTTCCCATTCTCCTTAACTATAGTACCTACAGGCACCTGCAACACATAAGCAGACCTCCACTGCACCTCTCACCCAGTTGAATTGATCTGAATTGGTCATTCCACCTTTTAGAAAAACAAAGTTCTTTCATTTTTGATCCACCAAATTTAGAAACACAAATTGTTAATGAACCTGGCTTACTTTTCCTGCACGGCACAGGAAGAACGTGGATCTTTAATTGCATTCTTCTAACATACCCATCTGTCAAAGTCTTTTGCAACACTAAAGTGCCACAACAGCGTGTACTGAATGGAGGACTGACAGGTTTCTCATGGATATCACTGAAAGCTCACTAATGGCTAGCTGATCCCAAAAATTAAGGTTTAATGGCAAACAATAACGAATCAAGTCAGGCACACTCGGGCCTGCTGACACTTTGCCAGTTGTGTGAACTCTGAAAATGAGAATGCTCACTGTGATGTAGGTGGTCTTGGCATTCCGACCATAGCAGTTTTTCTTTCCTCCTGATTCTCCATCCTGCCCACGGTACACTTGAGCAACCATTGATAGAGATTTCACTTGCTGATCAACTGAAAACACAAAAGGTACTGTTAAAGGAGCTAAAACGTATTTGATAGCGTCAGATATCTACTGTACACTGTCTTGTACTCTTTGGTCTGGCAATCCTCAGAGCTGCGTGCTGAAGACCAACATCAAAATGTTTGTGGTCAAGGTGTGCTAGTTTTGTTTATACAGTATTTTAAAGCTACATGTGCTCTTTGTTTTCATACTGTACTTTGGTCTTCTTTTTTATGTGATTCTTTGTTCTTTTTTTGCTTACAAAAATCACACACAATTAATCAGGTACCTTTAATGATAATGTCTCCCCCATTGCCTCCATTTCCTCCATCAGGCCCTCCAAACTCTTTCCTGGGTTCGCTGTGGAAGGTGCATGCTCCTTTGCCTCCTGACCCTGCAGCCAAACTCACTCTCCGGTGATCAACAAAGTAGCGTGTCTGTTCCCAAAATAAGAAACCATGTGGGTGCAGTGAACATTACCACAGAGCAGTGCTGCCTCAGTATCTTCTAATCTGGTACATTCACACATGAAGTGATTTAACAGTACCTATATTTTCCCTTTTTAATTTGACATTTAAACTCCAGTGACTCAACTCAAACTCAACTGAATACAACTAGTTTTGGTATAAAAATATTATGCTGCGCATTCTGGCTCCTGAATTTGTAAATACAAAAATACTTTTGCATTATATTGCAAATGGAAAAGTTGAAAAATTCTGTGAGTGGAACAGGATTCTATTGTTGGAGGTGGAGCACACATGAAAATTAATAATTTCTTTGAATTAGGAAAGTTAACTATTATAATTTAGAAAGTGTGCCGAAGAACTACAATGTTAAAATGAGCACAGCATGATAGTATGATGGAAATATACTTTTTTGTTGTTTTTCATCAAACCTACATTTTCACAGTATAGTATTTGTATTGTTCATGCAGCTGCAAAATTAAAGGAATCATTACTTACATTTAATTTGAAATCTGGAAATATATAGCTAAAACAAAAGCACTTTTAGCCAGCATTACAGCAAAATATCCTCTTAACTAAAAGTTGGATATTTCCTACTAATACAACTATAGAATATTAAAAGAAAGAACAAGGACAAGTTGTTAGTGATTGCAAACTGCTATAAGCTTATGAATATACTGCATCTACTTTTACCGTTGATTGCATAAATATTAATTAAAATGATACACTGACTTTTTTCCAGAACTTGATCTTCAAGACCCTCAAATCTATTACCTGCTACCACAAATTGCTGGAAGGAACTTTTCTGCTTTGTTAATATAAATAAGGAATTCAAGACATGTTTACAAAACCTTTCATATGAAAGCCACAATTTCTTGCAATCAGTTCTTTCAACAGGGTGAACAATCGAAGACTTCCTGACTGAGTCTAGCATGGAGTGGGCACATACAGTATGCGACACGGATTTACTGTAATTATACGTACCAACTTCTTTTCTGAAATATCTGTTTTCTTCTTAACACACCTGGCCTTGGCGCACTGGGAGCGTGTGGTAGAGAAGTAACGCACGTTTGTCCTGTGTTGACCTGCAGCCCCACTCACTGACACCGACAGTGCAGAGAGCATCCTCCTGCCGGGCACTGTGCTTAACAGTCTGACCACGTCTTGTAGGAGCCATCCTCCGATCGTCATACTCTGTGGAATAAGGAGTTTAAGCTACAGGAGGAGCAGAAAAAAAGAATAAATCTACTGGCACAAAACACTGTATTTTTTCAATACTCGATTAATAATACTATTGGACTTCATCTAATCTCTTTTACGACTGTGCCAATTCGTAAATATCATTTTTTCAAGACCCTCTAGGTACAACAGGTTATCCTAAAATGCAAATACAAACGCCACAATCCTTTCTCTCAATAGATGTAAATAAATACTTCAAGTGTCAGTCGCGTGAAAGTCCAATGCTATTGCAGCTACAGAAGACTTGTAATAAATTAAATCAATGTATTTATCAATGTTTCAAGAAACAATATAGTATTAGGAATACTACTGGTTGATATAAAGTTTTTTTGCAAGATTGTATCTATTTTGTTTCTAAGTAGTTTTAAATGGAGCATTCAAGTCAACCTAATCCAGCCACATTGCCTCACCTAACAACACGTGACACCGTCTGCTGAAGTACGGTAAGCACTGAGGATAAAAATACTTCAGAAAACGGCGTTCCAAAAGAATACATTTCAAACCGGTTTCAGTAAACTGATACGATACACGTATTTGCAAAAAGAAGAGGAGACACATAGTTTTACAGTTCTATTTATGCAAGTTCTATACTGACCTTTACTGTAATACTACTGGTAAAAAGGAAAGTTTGCATTCGATTTAGCTACCAAAGCAGTATTCATTTGATCTATTAGTCTGTCTCTTTTGACCAGCAGTTTAATGTACTCTTTAGACAAATATTTCCTTCAGGTTTAATTTCCTGAGCTTATTACTCTTTTTTGGCATACAGTGCTACTCCAACCTCTTCTTCGATCATGTCGGTCTTTCCTAAACATAGCACAGCCACCGATATTGTATTCATCTTCACCAGTCATCAACTCCTAATGCATTGGTATATCTAACACTTTATTTCTAACATTGTTAGTGTTTAAATGCAGTTTTGTTCAGATTGGGCTTTTAAAGGGGATTGAGTGAGATTGGTTGAAATGTCCAGGCCTTTCTGATTCTCTTGGTCCTCTGTAGATCTTTTTGGGGGTTTGCTCCTTCATTCCTAGTTCAAATGCCTCAATATTTAACAGTTCTTGATCCTTATTTGTTGGTCCCTTTCTTAGATGTGGTCTACCACAGTTTAACCATGTTTTCTGCTGTTTGAGTTGTATCATGGAAAATACCAGTGTTAGTCTTCATCTTCTATTGTCTTCCTATAGCTACTGTACTGTATATTGAGTAAGGGGCTGCATCTTGCAGTATTATCACAATGTGATCCACCATAACACCAACCATTTTTAAGAAGCTTATATATAACATCAGCTGTCTTAATTAAATAACTACATTACTACGTGAAACCCATCAATTTAAAACAATGAAAGTGAGAATACAGCCATTTTGAAACACTCTAGCAAATTAATGGACATTTTGGTCAGCAATTTAAAATTTGATTAAACTGGCCATTTTACATTTTTAAGCCATAAAACAAACCAAACACCTCAAAAAGGTGTAGGACTAAGGGGAACGGCAGTTAAGGAAATAAGTAAAAATAAACCTAATGGTTATGTGCAGAAAACATGTATATGAATGAATTAAATCTGGACCTTTTCTTCTTAACAATGAGTAGACTCCAATGTGCTTATTTATTTGTGCAACACTTAAACTTACTGAAGAGAGTTTTTACTTGCCATGTATAACAAAGTGATGTTAAGATGTTAAGAATAGGATCAGGTGTCAAAACAGTAAGAAAACAATTCAGAAAATTAATTCAGACCTTGGCTATGACGCCTTCCCACTGTGACTTTGGAAACCCTGGTCCCAACCTCCCCCTTACACACACCCGAGGAAGGATCCACAGCAGAAGCGTTGGGTATTTTAACCCTTTTATTTTCCATTTTCAATGCAGAATTATCCTCTGCTTTTACCTTTGCAGATCACTCACCGATACAGATCCCCCACTCTGGTGCAACTTGGATGCGCATTGACCACAAAGCAATAAAGAAGGTGAATGTTTATTTTTTATTTTTTCATAATAAACAGTAACAAAAAGAGAAAAAGTACTAACAGGCAATGCAGTACAGTATACTTGTAGATAAAACATTCATATTTGGTCAATGATCATACCAAAGCCCTCTCAACAAATGGATTACAATGACTTCTTTACATTATAAACAACATTTGAACAGAAGACAAACCTTTTAAGTTTTCAGAATCTAAATTAACTTTAGAACACACCATGTTGTGATATAGAGAACCCTACGATTGTCATGGAACAGTGTGAAATAATACAGCTGTCTGACAGCCAAACACAACAATGTGAAGGAGACTCTAAGCCGCATCAAAATGGGGATGAACTGTGCTGTTGTTTGTACTGGTAAAATTGCAGCACCCATACTTTTATTATTATATTTTTTTAAATAAATCAGTATATGGCATACTGTTGTTTTGCTACTTTGATATTTATAAATAACAAAAAAAAATCTGTGCTGTACATTATTTTGCCATGAAATAAAAATAATAAGGCAAATGTGTTTGTGGAACCTTTAACATGTCTTTTGACTTCTAACACAATACAAAAGACTCAATTATATGAATAAATCTGGCACTACAACATCTCACTCTTTACAGAGCTGTCTGGTAGAATGGGCAAAGAGATACCCATGCAAAAGGCAATCTCATATCATCCTCACACCCATTTTCCAAAGAAAGTCCTTTGCTTAAAAAAAAATCATTTCAAGGCAACATTTCTGTAACCATAAACATTATACGCCTACACATGTAGATAAGCACTATGAGTCTAACGGATACTATACACACCAAAAAATGATTCTCTTCCACTTTCACCTTGGGGCAGTTACCCACTGCAAAACCGGATGAAAAACTCCAGGAATATCCCGTACGCTACGATTTGGACTACCATGAATGACGAGTCAGAAGGCTATAGGAAAAGCTCCTAGAAGTCATTATTTTCTGGCAGACAAGGACATCACATTCCATCATGCCAGATTCCGCACACCACAGCAGCTCAGGGCATTCCAATCCTGGCTGAGATTTCTCCAGTGCCATTCCCATCTGGGCTCTCGGTTATTTCATTTAACTCATCATTAAACTAGTACTGTGCTATTTAAGGATACAAAATGTAATTAAACCTGTTTGTTAGTTTAATGATTTGATTATTGACACTTAACACAAAGACCAGGACTTGGAACAATTTGTAATCCTAATATCCTATTATACCAGTGCTTTATGTACAGATGAAACACTTTCACTTGTATGGTCCTAATCAATATATCCTCAGTTCAGTTTTGTCCCAGGGGTCTTGTAGATTTCTCAGTCTAAATGATTATTTATCTGATGCGAGTAGTACAGTGTCACTAGTACAATAACCAGCAGGCTGTCTCAATTACATTACACATTTCTGCAACACTTTGTGTCTCCTATAGAGTTCAGGTTATTGTTTTGTAATTGTACAGATTAAAAAAAGAGGGTAAACAATAGTGTTATACAAAAACAGTGTTCAATGAATTGGCTCATTACAGCATTAAAAAACAGCAAATACATACATAAATATAAATACATACTAAAATAAATATCTCCCATCAACAATCCAAAATGTTTTATACAGTATGTTACCCTCAATTCATCAATTTCCAGAAATTCAAGGCAAATGAATTGTGACGGATTAAGCCGGTTATGTGTAAACATATCTTTGAAAATTAGTGATTTCAGGTGATTTCTAAAACTACCTGGACTGAGGCTCTCCAAAACCTGGTTTGGAGATCCCCGCTCTACTGTAATTGTCAACATTTTCAAGATGTAATAAATAAATTACATTCACAAAACTTGGAAAACAAGAAAAAAATCTAATCTCCCATTTCTAGTCCTTCATTTCTTTTCATGCAGAGAATTACTTCAGAGATAAACCTGTGCCGCAACTAAAAATATGAAAACCATGTTTAAAAGTATGCATCTCTATCATAACACAAACCAGTGAAACATTCATTTCTTCTAAGTGCCTGATTCTTTAGTGAATTGGTACAGAGTATACACATGCTTTTATGAGTGGGCCAAATATAGAGCTGAAGAAATGTACTGTAGATATAACTGTCAAACCCCACCATGCAGTGCAATCTAGTACCTTTGTCTGTTTGGGGAAGCACATACAACTTTAAAATGGAAGAAAGAAGTAATGGCAATAATATAAAACCCGAGGTGAGGTGGTTGCAGAACCCTAAATCACACCGTTCAGGGAGAGGTGATGCCTGACCTTTTGCCCATGAATGAGAAATGAGTTCTAGAGTATGACTTGTAACCTTGGCTGTAACAGTACACCATATCTACACAAATGCTAAAGTGACACTCAGTTTAACAAAACCTGATAAATAAAGAGATTCAAATAAGACGCACTTCCAGAAATTAAATATATATATATATAATACCACTGCTGTTCCTACCGACAACTAAAATGGGCCATTATCCCCTTCTTCTGCATCATACATAATCTGTATTTGAGACAGAGCATGTAGACAGTACTGAAAATAATTGTTTGAGTTGTCTTTGAAATACGTCCTTTGATGTTGACAATAAGCCTTTTTGTCCAGACTTGCACAATGTTTCATTTACAATCTTAAAAACAAAATTAAAACAAATACACAATTGTTTTCACTTGACAGGTACTATGAGCAGCAACAATTCTTCTAAAAAAAAAAACTTTCCCAAACCCATACAGCTGCACTGAGTAAAACAACACACAAGAAACAGAGATTGAAAGGTCTCAGATCTGTTAGGTTACTATACACCAACAGATCATCACAGAATACAGAACAAAGGAAAATGTTTTCTTGTTGACTGCGTAGGAAATCTGCTGAAGAGCTTTTACCTTATTGCTGGTAGTTCCCATACTGGCCCTGTTACACAAAATAAAATATTTAAAATGATTACAGCAGTGCAAATGGTTCATGAATCCCAGAAGAATACTCCAAAAACAGAAACAGAAATCTACCAATCGTTAACAGTCTGCTGTCTGTTTCATTATAGTAAACTGGTCTCAATCATAGTGTACAGAACTTTTTAGCATTCTATTAGTTCTGAAATATCATTCTTGGGACTAAGTGGAAATTAAAAATAAATCTTTCAGGTCTAATCCTATATTTATCGGTTTTAAGAAAGCACACAACATGCATTTGAAACACGAATGCGTCTCCTGTGAAGAGACAAGGCCAGAGTCACACACCTGCTCATATCCATAAGGTCGCTGTGTTTGTGCAGCAGGGCCAGACTGCGAGGGGCGATAGGAGCTGTACTGCTGCCCCTGCCCCTGCTGGTAGCTAGAGTACTGGGTGGAGGCTCCTTGTGCCGGGCCTAAGAAAAGAAGATACTCTATAGCACAGAATAATCCATCCATCCATCCATTTTCTAACCTCTTCTTCTAATTCAAGGTCAGAGGGGAGCAGGAGCCAATCCCAGCAAACAACGGGCACAAGCACGGTACACTCCAGTCCATCCGCAGACACACACACACTAGGAGCAATTTTCCCAGAAGTCATATAACCAGTATGTTTTTGGACTGTGGGAGGAAAGAGTACCCAGAGGAAACCCACGCACACTCTACATAGACAGCACCCCAGGTTCAGAATTGAACCCTGGGCCCCAGCTCTGCAAGGCACCAATGCTAACCACTGCGCCGCCATGCCACCCATTGAAGAATAATATTTGCTTGCATTTGCACAGCACTTTTAATCTCAAAGAAACACAAAGCACTTCACATCCAGGAGGGGACCCATTTTATCTACCAGATGGTAGACGCACAGCAGCCATTAAACCTCACTACCCTCACCTGCACAGCAGACTGGGTGGAGAAATGTTATTGTACTTTGCCAATAGAATTAAGGGTCCACATATTTAAAGATGTCTCTAAATAGGCCTCTCATCCTAGTAGTGGCCCGGGGCCATCCTTGCTAATCTTCTGATATCAGATCTTAGAGGCTCCTCTATCAATCTCACACCTCTTAGCAATACTCAAAGAAATCAGATGAGAACTGCTGCTTCTCTGCCAGGGTCACTCAATAAAACTGACCCTGTGTCTGTCTGATCGCCAATAAGCCTGCTATTAAACTACATTCTTTTCCAGAGTCCTAACTTTCAGTTCCTCTTGTTCATCCTTGCAACAGTGTAGGTCTCCCTGGTAGCCTTGACTGTCTTTGCTGGGTTCACAGACTCTGTCAGTCAGTCCCACAGACCTCTATTCTTACCATAGCCCTGCTGCTGTCCAGCATAACTTTGTTGGGTAGGGTACTGCTGCTGGCTGAAAGGCTGCTGTTGGCTGGAACCCTGTTGGTAGGATGCTTGCTGCTGGCTGTATTGCGAGTTTCCTACAGGCACAGGCCAAGAAAAAGGGCACTTATTAATGTTCTTGAAACTACTTGGCAAATATTACTACCGCTCTGGAAAATGAAATGCATTCTGCAGGGGAAAAGCATGGATGCCAGCTGGCTCCAGCAAAAGACTTAATCATCTGGATGTGCCTTTGCAGGATTCAGTGGACTATTTAAGGGGGCAAAGGAACAAGGTTTATGCCATGCTGAAAAGAGAAGAAGAGAAACACAACATTTCGGCTGTGGAGCCTTCTTCGGGTTATTTAAGGGTGATCAACCTAAATACCCTCTACAAACACAGGGTTGTAAAGGAGGCTAAGATCATTATGAAGATTATGGCTCACTCCCTCCACTGTGAATTTACACTCCTCCCATCTAGAAGACACATTTGTGCTCCCAGGTTTAATGGTAACAGACTCAGAGAGTCTTTTGTCCCCTCTGTAATCACATTCTCAAATTCTTTGCTGATGATGTTTGTCTGTTCTCGTGTATTGTTGTGTTGGACTCTGCTATAAAACGAATTTCCACCAGTGAATAATAAAACTTGAACTGAATTGAAAGACTAAGATACTGTCCGAGGTTTCTTGTATAAAGTAAGGTGAGTGTACAGGGAAAAAAGAAGAAAATAAAGAAAATATTTTGTACTTTTATATTAATCATATTTTTGGTATGGTAAAGTCACAGGTTGTTCAAACTATAAGGAAACCAGTGAAACCCAACACAGTTAAACCCAGAATACCTCCTTCATAGTAGTGCTGAGAGGACTCCTCAAAGCTTCTCTCATAGCTCTGCTCACTGTATGAAGACTGCTGGTAGGAGTATTCTCCATGGCCTGCAGAGACAACAATACCCAAGCACTCACTCCTCCATCCAACAAGGACAGAAGTAAATGAAATAACACATTGATCCTACAGATTTGTTTTTTTTTACCAAGAAAAAACAGTTCTGAATTTTCTGCACACCACTGAATCAAAGCCACGCAATAGTGATATTGGTTGTGAATTCAATGCAGGAAATTGCTAGATGAAAGTCTATCATGAGGACTTAAAATCTAGAGAAGGATATAAGGCCTTGAATATAGAATAGGAATAGTTAAAAATAGAAAAATTAAAGTGCTATGACACGAATAGTGCTAACTGAAAGGGGTTTTGGAGATGAAGGAGAGAAGGTGTTATTACCATCGGGGTAATATTGCTGGTTAATGGGCTCGCTGGAGCTCTGACTGTGTCCATACTGCTCCCCGTAGAACTCCTCCTGTCCCATGTACTGCGGGGCTGATCCTGCAACAGACAGGTGACACTAGGAATGGTTAATCACTTGATTTGACCAAAATCGAGCTCTGGTGACTGGTGGAAGGGGTGTGAATGGGAAGGAACAAGCAGCCCAACTCCAGTACTGGCAAATGACAGATTGCTTGAGGGCACCTAGAGGAATGAGGAGTTTTTTGAAACTCATCACAAAAACAGTTGAATAATGACCATAATGCATGTTAGCAGGTGTGAAATTAACTCATGTGATACTCTTTAGAGCTTTCAGTTAAGGGGATTGTAAATATAGAGAAACAGGCAAAAGTCTGAGGGTAGTATTAATTCTGTTTGTGTTATGTTTGCCCTCTGGCTCATATAACTTCAACAGAAGACACCCTGTAACCTTCTGTGATGTGAAGTACTTTTTTTTGAAAATCATTTTGTTTTTATAAAATGCACCGAAAAAATTAAAGCCATTTTATAAAAACATTATGAAAAAACACATTCACTAGACATTTTTTAAATACATGAGCAGTGAAAAAAATCCTGCTTTACTTAAGAAAAGGATGTGCAGAAAATTCATACACTGTACCATTTTGCCCTGAATTTCACAATGTTTACACAGCACTGATAAATAGAAAACCCTGTACAGTATATCTCAACAAAATCAATTCCATAATTGGATCAGGCCCTAATCAAGATGGAATGAAGAAGTAGTCAAAATTGTTTTCCTGACCATCAGGAAGAAGACAACCCCACCTCTGTTCTTAAGAAGGACATGCTGGCGAGCTGCTACAAGGACAGTGATGGGCTGGAAGGAGGGATACAGGCAGGTACATGAGGTGCATGACGATCATGATTCTTCTATGTAACTGTGTGGAAGGGAGCCAGGTGTGGGCCTGACCTCCTCCTCAGGTTTTGCTAAAAAACTCCATAAGCTGACAACTTAAGAGTCTCGCCCCAACAGAAGGCAAATGTACAGTAAGCACTACACTGCGCAGGAGCTGTGGTAGTTCAGCAAGGGTGTCTAGCTCCTGACTGGGAGGTCCTGGGTTCAATGCCTGGTAGAGGCATGAGATGTACTGTAGTTTGCTCCAATTCCTTCCAGACGGCTCCCAGGTCCACTCACCCTGCTTTCCAAATGAGTACTGGGTGTTAATCCTGCTGGTGGTAATGGGCCAGCCGGAGCGTGATGCTGACCACATCACCTCCACCTCCAGTGTCCCTTGCCCCCCATTCCCCATGAGCCTTTATGGCCTGAAAAGGGACTTACCTACAACATTGTCCAGCCCAACGATGCTGCTGTCATGACAGACAGCTGGCCTCTCTACACCTACTACCAAACAACTTTTTCTTTCAATATAACGTCTGCTTGAGTCAGTCGAAAGACGTGTCCACAGACTGCTTGAATGCAAAATTAACCAAAACTCAAGTTGTGCCCAGAACATTAGCACTCCAGTATATAATACATACAAATCCTTACGTATTGAAATGATGTTTGAGTTACAGTCTCACCAACACCTCTGATCCATTCAGAGTGGGGAGCCCAGGCGACTGGCATGGGGGAGATTACACTCCAAATGGGCCGCCAATCCTTCGCAAGGCAGACGCACACTCACACCTAGGGCCAATTCTCCCAGAACCGAATTAGCCTACCAGTATGTCTTTAGAGTGTGGGAGAAAACCCACGCGAGCATGAGTAGAACACATAAACTCCACACAGACAGCACCCCCCAGTCCAGAGCTGAACCCAGGGCCCCACTGCTGTGAGGCAGTAATGCTAACCTCTGCGCCACTGTGCCACTCAACAGCTCTAAACCCCTGTGAAAATGTCATGTTCAAAAGCAAAATATTGAAAATATACAATGGGCTAAAGTTCTCTATGAAGTCATAGAGAAATTAAAGCAATTCCAGTAATTATTGATTACATCCAAAATTTTCCATTCAAACAATTTGTACAAGCAAGATGTTCCTTCTCCTTAATCATGTACTATACAACATGTTAAGCATTATACTAAGCATTAAACACGGTTAAGCATACTGGACAGCACTGTATTTTTGCAGTACTATGCTTTAAACATACAGAGTCTGTGTGGGTGTATACTCCAAACATTATAAGATTTAAAACAGTACACAACACCCCAAATTAAAGCATTCATAAAAAAATGTGCAGAGCTACTGTAAGTTACAATAAAATAGTAATTTCCTGCGGTTTTTAAAAATCAAGGGACCTCTCCCCCAGCGTGTGAAATAATCAATGATCTACTACACATGCGAAATAGCTCATAAAGAGTAATACATGTCAATAGCAGAACAAGCGGCAAAAAGAAAGCTGTGCACAATACTTTTAGGGGCAGTTTAGGGTTAATTTCAGGCCTGTTCTGGGGAATACAGAACAATACAGAATAAATGTTTCCACTTACAGATATACTGTACCACAGATTTCTTTTACATGAATGGAACAAGCAGTGCTGTCATGCAGGGAGTGTGCTGTACCCACATCCATGTAAAACACGCTGGAGAACATTAGAGACTATTTTTAGATCAACACTGACAAAAGCCAGTCCATGATTTACAGAGACTAAGACCAGAAGTAACAGCAACAATAAATCTTAACTTGCTTCTTAAAGCTACACACGGATCACATAAAGGCTTACTGTGTTCAAAATACATGCACACTTTGTGATTTTGGACATGTAAAGTTTCACTGGTATAGTTAGCAGATTAAAAGCTACACCACAAACATACTCCTATATAGAAACGTATTGACCAGTTATTTGAGGTTTCACTGAAACAGATCCATTATAAACTTATCTTACACATCTTTTTTACCATTATGCTGCCAAATGAACACTGTTACTCCAATGCACCAGAATGTTTTGACTTTTTACACAAACATATTCAAACTGATCTTTTCTAAACCAACAAATACATAAAACACAAACCAAACCCGTCTGTGCATTCGAGAATTTGTTTTTTGATGTAAACTCCCTCCTCAAAGGCTAAGCAGTACACATTAACCACATACAATTCTTCCATTTAATTAATAAATAGAACAAACTGTCCAAAATCCATTCTATTTATTGTGTAAATAAGCATTTTGTACATGAAACAAAAACATGAAATGCTCTGTGGCCAACCATTTTCTTTTTTTTTGGCCTTCTTTTTTTCACTTAAAGCCCAGTAGAAGAGCCCTTAACTTACCTTGCTGTGAAGGTCGGTATGAACCCATGGGTCTCTGGGCCATCATACTGTTGCCTTGGTTACCCTGTCCCAACATTCCTATGGACTGCTGCCCCTGATAGTGCTGGCTACCGGCTTGTGCTGGGGAGTAATGGGATGTGGCAGCTTGTTGGTGCATCATTGTGACTGAAAACATGGTGGGGGAAATTTCAGTTTAAAGGGGAAAAAGAAAAGGCATTTGAACACTTAACAGTAAAAGTCTGTAGCCTTCTATCAGCATACAGACTATGCATTGCTGAACAATTATTAATTAACAGAGTGAATACACTTTGCATGGGTTCGTGTAACATAAGTGTAAATACATTACAGTGTATAATGTAGGTACAACTGGCTTTGCAACAGAGAACTAGAATTCAGAATTACAGCAGTGTGAATGAAGCTGATGAACCACGTCAGTATCATCGCGTAACAAAACAAATTAAAGGAGAAACACGGTTCTTCTTAGGACTCATGGCTCCTGTCTAACCATTTAGAGAACCTTGTCCTCACCTTGGTTAGACTGCATGTTGAGGTTGCTTCGGGAAGCATAGCTGCCCATGGACTGACCCTGGCTTTGCATCTGCATGCCCTGTGAAGAGGACACCGAGTGGCTGTAGCCTGTGGCCGAACCATGGCTGCTGACTGGCATGCTCATGGAAGTGGTGGGGAGAGACGTCTGTCCCGACTGTTGCATGGACACATGACTTGGGCCTGTGGCAAGACAGAAGGGCAGTCTTCAGAAGTCGTCCTTCAAAACACATTCATAGTCTGCAACCTAGACAAGCCCTCTCTTCTCTTAAATTAATCAAAATTAATTGTTTTTCAGAAGAATGGGTCCAAAAGGATGTCAATGGTTACAGGATCGTTTTCAGTCTTCAGACATGTCACATCCCAAAAAAAGAAGGCACTATATCTCAGGAACGAGATCTCAATGGCACAAACAAATGTGGTGGGTTTCATTGTGCTGTTCTTAGGGAGACCAGCTTCACGGAGCTAATGTGTTTCTAGATGCTCAGAACTAAGCTTTTACTTCACTTCTCTATCTCAAAAGCAAAGGAAAAGGCCACACCATTGCTCATCTGGCTCTGCATAAGAGAGGTGGGTGGCAGACCAGTTGCCATGCTGTCGTTCAGATTGCTCTGGGAGTGGAGCGACTGGCTTGACCCACTTTGGCTGATCCCTCCTGGGCCCATGTTCATGTTTTGGGTAGGCGGCTGTAAAAACACATTTATTGAGAAAAATCAGGCATTGCGCAAAATGAAAAATATGGGCACCTATCTTTATGAAATCCTTAAAAGACGCTTTAGTGCACAAGCTCCTCCCAAATAGCTCGGTCGCAATCTAATAGATGCTGGAAGAAGTGACAACGCTTGTCTGACTGCAGCATTCTCATAGTTTATCAATGAGCAAGGGGATGTCAAAGGCTCTCAACATTGTTAAACAGACCTCAAGAGTGCGTAAGGCAACTCCAGATAACTTGCTTGTAAGGGGCAATGACAAATACAAGACAACAGCTGCACTACACTAGTAAAAAGGCCAGATTTTCAAATTGTTCAAATTTTAATGGATACAGGGTTCCAGAACAAATCCACACAGAAGGCAAGTGACTTACTGGTGCTATGCAGAAGAGATACAGTACTATGCAAAATCAGTTCACAGAAGAGCAACCAGGTACTGTACATCCTCAGCCTTAAAGGAGCCTCCAATACTGACAGAATAAAACAACTAAACATATCACTCACGAAATGAGAAAAAAATGCAAGGGAACCCAATTCAAGTATTCAAACTCCTAAATGGCAATGACAAAGTGAACCCAATGGGCTTCTTTGGAAACAGTACTGAAATTTGTACCAGAGGACACAAACGAAAACTATCCTGGATTGCATTTAAAACTGAAAACGGGAAGTACGTTTTACACAAAGAGTTGCGGGAGTATTGAACAAGCTACTCAGCCATGATGTCGAAGCTGATACTCTGCCTGGATAGAATCCTCAGAGCAATTAGCCACACGCAAAAGGCTACAGGAGCCGAAAAGGACTTCTCTCATTTGTAACCCCACATGACAAGAAGCTTTGGGTTTTCAGATAACAGCCAAGCAAGGCCAGCAGCAGGCCATAAAACACACTGAGCACTTACTGCAGGTAACAATGACTGCATGTTCTGATTGGAGTCCGCTATTGTTGCAAGATACACCAGGTTTCTGTGCAGTATTTGCTGGTATCTGTGAAAAGAAAGTTCAGTACATAAACTATCATATGAGAAACAACAACACAAAATATATTTGTCAACAAAGGTAGGAAATAAATGTGAATTAAAGCTCAAGCAGGCATTTTGCCTATGACAACACTTGAAACTGTCCTTTAACAATCACTGAAATATTGAGAGTTGACAAGAACATAAATCTATTTTATATATCCAAAAAATAATGTTTGTATAATCTACAGTGCAGATGTAATTGATTTTTAAAAAGCCATGTTTATATGAATAAAGGGCAAACCTAGGAAAGGATTTAATATGCTTCAGGAAATAAATATTGGCTGGAAGGTTGCCGGTTCAAATCCCGCGGCTGGCAGAGGAATTCTACTCCGTTGGACCCCTGAGCAAGGCCCTTAACCCCAACTGCTCCAGGGGTGCTGTACAATGGCTGACCCTGCGCTCTGACCCCAAGCTTCTCTCCCTGTCTGTGTGTCTGTGTCTCATGGAGAGCAAACTGGGGTATGCAAGAAATTGTATATGGCTAATGAAGTGATCTTATCTTATTAAGTGCACACAGTTGTTTTTGCCAAGTTAAACATAATAAACTGTGCAGAACAGCATAAACAACAAGCAGTTTTATATAAATACTTCTCTGATGTTTAAACCAAACCAAGTTTAACCAAGTATAATTTACTTTGGTAAGTAAATCGAAGCAAATGTGATAAGAACACAACGGTTGTACAGTTTAATATTGTGATTTACATCTTTGTTCTGCAGACCAGACAACATACTTACTGAGTGCATTCTGCAGTTTTCCCTTTACTCTGATAGTCCATAATACACTGGATCAGGTGATGGTTTTCGTCTAGCATCTTTGGGAAAGAAAAAAAAACATTTACTGTATATTAAGATATATGAATTAAAAATTAGTATTAAAGGTATTGGGGGCAGCACTATAGGACGTACAGACTGCTGGAATAATGTTGTTCAAGTCTTGCTTGTGGAGAAATGAACAAACTTCTCTCACACACAAAACCCACATAATTGTACTGTCAAAAATCAGTCTTGCAGGACTGTGGAGTAGGAGCACAATGAATCTGGGTCAGTGGATTCTCCGAGGCTCCATGAGTTGGCAGCAGGAGATCATTCAGAACAGTGCACGAAGGCGAGAAACGGGGTTGCTTCATCTAAGCTACAGTACATAGCCTCCTTCATTCGCCATCACTCATTCAACGGAGAAAGACAGCAACGCAGCAGCGCGACTTGGCTCAAGTCTCCGCCGCTGGTCTGTAAATCAAACCGACGGAAGCCTCTCGCGTCGTAAACGCGATGTAAAAGAATCGCAATCTCACCTGTAAAACAGTCACAGTAGCTCTGAAACGGGAACAAAGCTCTGCATCCTCACAGGCTATTGAACAAATCTGTCTGGTCCCAAGACTCCCCTGCCATTATCAGTCAGCGCAGCAAACACAGTAGCAGGCTACCTGCTCGTCAACTGCATGCCAGGCACTTCATTTCACCATCTTGACAAACCGCTAGAGTTCCGTTCTTTATCGCGGATCGACTTAAGCATTCAGAATTTGGACTTTTTTTTTTTAAAGACGAGCAGATTCATATTACACGAAAACAACATACAACGGTATCGTGCGCAGTCCCCAGAATATATCAATATACGTTGTATTCAAATCACCTATACGCAACACCTGGAAACAAAATTCATTTTAATTTAGCACCTGTTTCATTTTAAATGCACCGAATTACAACGCCTCCTAGACGTCTATTGTAGATCACATAATATAATGTTCAAGTAATATTTTACCACAAATTTTGTATTTTGAAATATGCAGGTTAGTTCTTTTAATTGTGGGGAAATTGCCTCCCCCATACAGATACACGCATTCTGCAGAAAAATAAACATTTAAAATAACAAATACAGCAAAACATTTGTAAAAATCCATCATAGTCCCCATTAATCCAATAAGGCCATACACCTCGCTTTGTTAAGCTTATACTAGTTGACCATCTTCACAGTCCCTGATATACACTACTTTCCCACCATTGAAACACATTTCTCAGTAGTCAGCCAGCATTCAAAACCATCGCAATGACATCAAAATATAAAAACGCTTTATTACCTTTTGTATAGTTTGCTGTGTCACCTCCCCTTTACTTCTGGGGCGAGCCGAAGCGAACGCAACAGACATTATTATTTTTTAATATATAAAAAAACGCTTCTTTTTATTCTAATATTTTTATTATCTACCTCCTATTACAAGCTAAGGGTTCCCATGTCGTGAGATATACAGGGGGTGTTCGGCAAAACCTGGGCTATTCCAAAAGACACAAGAATCAAGGGGCAGTTCATTTTGAAAGGTGTCTTGAACGCAAAATATTGTTATAATCTTTAGTGCAGGTCTGAAACGTGGCTAAATCGGGATTCCTTCTGGCATGTTTCGGAGATTTCGCTCCAGTAAGTTGCGTAGACATACCTCTGTCAGTTTTTGGTACAACCCCATTCTGAGGGCTCCTGCTGGAGTGTGCCTGTTCTCCGATTCACAACGCCGTGTACGCCTATTCTTGTGCGTAGACGCCAGCAGTGGGATACATTACACACGCAATAAATCGTGCGTATGTCGGCTGGCAGCAGCGTCGGCTCCCGGAAGAGGCGCTGCGGCATGATTTGGCTGTTTTGCGCTTGCCGTTACTTTCAGTTTCAGTACTCTGCTTTCTACGCCTGAGCGTTTCTTTTTCTTTGCCTTGGGACGGTTATTTTAGCCTCAGAGAATGAGTTACGACCGAGCCATCACGGTCTTTTCCCCGGACGGTCACCTGTTCCAGGTGGAATACGCTCAGGAGGCGGTGAAGAAGGGATCCACCGCAGTGAGTAACCGAGAAACTCGCGAATGACCCACTCCAACTTCCACTGCATTTGTTGAAGATGCAGTTCAAAGTCTGAACCATTTCTTCATTTGAATTCATATACGATACAGAATACACATACAGTACGCATATTGTGCTGTAATAGTAAGATTTCTTTGTTAGCCAGAGGTCTTTAAATACATAGTATCTAGCTGCGTGTTACCAAAGAGGGCAAAACGTGCGGTTTTTTTTTTAGATTTGCGGGATCCAAGTCTGTTCTGTTAAAATTCCCATTATTTCACTTTGACCGTATCGCTGGTTTTATCTTAAGGCGGCATGCCTTGTGTTAAGGGTACCCAAGGTATTTAGATGAAATATCGCCATCACTGGTTCATGTGGGTGGTTTGATGTCTCTGCCACGACAATTTCCGACCCTTCGGAAACTTGCCGTTTGAACTTATATTTAACTTTGAATGACAGTGAACCCTGTCTAGGACGCAACCAGGCATGTATAGCTTGCATAAAAACTCGAATTGGGTTCAGGAATTGTAAATAGCTCGAGTAATGTTTATGGAGATCTTCAATTTAAAACCTGCTTTTGGCTTCGTAGCTAAGAGTTGACTTTGGCGACGGCTACCGAAGTAAATGTCACAGGTCACAGATCTAGGATGCCGTGCTGTTAGTTTTTCAGCGGTTGTAAAATTAAAGCGCACGATTCACTTATCCATCGATAGCGCTTTCACGCTAAGGAAACCCGTGGCAAGAACATACTGTAGCACTGCATAACACATGGCGCTGGTCGGAGCTACGCTGGGCACAACAAGAACAGTTCCCGTGAAGCGCTCATAGCGTCAGCGTGGAGACACCGGTTAATCTAGCCAGCATGTGGAAATTGGGAGGAAAAACCCCTGCGGAGAGCATGCAAACTCCACACACAAGGAGCCCCTGCCCAGTATCAAACATGAATTAGAAACTCTGAAACAATGTCCCTTGGACAATGGCACACCCCAGGAAAGGACTTTTACAAACCAGAAATTGATTTTCCTTAGCGTACAGACATGGTCTGGATGTTGTTGGTTTTTTTTGCATAACATGTTCGCTAAACAAAATAGAAACATTCTAAAAAATACATGGCATGCATAAGGCTTGCATTAAAGTGTTTCTTCTGCAGTTTTGGATCCAGGCCATGACTGCTATGAAGCCAGTTATGGATCGGCTAGCTATGAGAACTGCTGGGCTACTATGCCTTTTAACTGCATTAGAATGTTTTTAAAATTTGGATTCCAACATAGTATGCGCACAAAAAAGTTTAACATCATTCTGGTTTTATTTCAAAGGAACCCCTTTCTGCATTTGTTTCATCAGGTCGGAGTTAGAGGTAAAAACATCGTTGTGCTTGGAGTGGAGAAGAAGTCAATGGCCAAGCTGCAAGATGACAGGACTGTCCGGAAGATCTGTGCCTTGGATGACAATGTTTTCATGGCCTTTGCAGGTAAAACTTTCCCTGGACTGGAGAGACTGTGCCATTTCCTTAAGTTTGGCAACTGTGGGTAGATTTTGCACGCAAGTGTTAGAGAAGTCACAGTTCAGGTGCAGTACAGTACTGGAGGTGCTGATACCTGTGTGACATGCTGAGCTCATACTTCCTGTCAGGAGAATGCATAGTACAGTAACCACACTGCCCAGAATATTGCCCAGTGTGGCATGTAACACGCATAATGCACATTTAGAAAAACTATATGACTATAGGATGTAAAATATTCTGCTGCATGTTAATATCACATTTTAAATCTGGCTGGTTGTGTACTATGTGAGATATATATCCGAACTACATGCCCATGATGGTCCACTCTTGTTTTCCGAGTGTCTTGATATATTAAGTTTTCAGTGGTGGATTGTAAGTGAAGATGTTATTGATGATCTGTAAATCATTCAAAACAAGGTTTGTTACTTTCTGTTTTAATCTGATTTCAGGTAGCCCCATCTGACCTTGGTCAGATCCAGATCAGGAGCTTGTGGTGGCCACTTAAATGATTTTAGAAAACCAGCTGCTGCATTGCTTTCCAAAATTGCTTTTACTGTATCGGAAATTGCAGCTTTGGAGTTATAGTTAAATTAACAGCAGTGTGCACGTGATTTATTTTTTTAAGAACCCTGAACCACAATCTTTTTGCAGGGCTCACAGCCGACGCCAGGATTGTTATAAACAGGGCCCGGGTGGAGTGTCAGAGCCATAGGCTGACAGTGGAGGACCCTGTCACTGTCGAGTACATTACACGCTACATTTCCAGCCTCAAGCAGGTAGGATTCCCCACTGTAACTGCCCACTTCAAGGTTCACTGAGAAATTTAATGAGCCGATTCTCTTTGTGCTCTTAAGGTCTCGCATAAAATCTCCCCTCATATCTCCAAAAAGCTTTGTGTAACAGCCTTAAACTAAACGGCCATGTTTAAGACCTAGGTAGCAGGATCAGAATGTCAACATAGGTAATAATTCCCTTCAACTGCCAGGTTTCTTTAAAAAGACAAACTCATAATACGTGTATTGCAAGTTCCAATTATTTTGTCAAACATTAGAAAAAAGTTAGCTGGTGTTGTATGACTTGTAATAGCTGGTTTGTAACGTTACAAAGCTAGACATGTCACTGTTACGATCTAAGATGACTAAATAAAAGCCCTGCAGAAGCACTGTACTTTTCTGTGCTAGCTACGCCCCAGAACATCTCCTTGCTCAGATGAATCAAACAAGACAATGCGATTAGCTGTAAAATGTTCTCTCCTCAGCGTTACACTCAGAGCAATGGGCGCAGGCCTTTTGGGATTTCGTCCCTCATTGTGGGTTTCGACTTTGACGGAACACCGAGGCTCTACCAGACTGACCCATCAGGAACATACCACGCATGGAAGGTGAGCCTACTTTAGACTACAGGAAATGCTAAAAAGATATTTCTACAGTAGTTTCCAGTGAAACAGCAGATTGGTGTAACTGCAACGGCTTGTAAAGGATTAGTTTCGACACCCCACAAACTATAACCGGATTTATCTCTTGTCCTCTCCCAGGCAAATGCTATTGGAAGAGCTGCAAAGACCGTCAGGGAATTTTTAGAAAAGAACTACAAAGATGAAGACATGGAATCAGATAAGGAAACCGTGAAACTTGTAATCCGAGCTCTTCTTGAGGTAAGAGTCAAAAACTATTGAAAGTTTTGTGTTGATATTTCCTGCTGTTTATATGAAAAGGTTAAATTTTAAATTTCAGTCAACTCTGGTTATATGATACATAATCTATTTTCCAACTTATTTTGGTATTTGACCACAATAAGAAAGACTTCCCCACTATATTCACTAATACAAACTGGTATAAAAAAACTGCATTTACAAACCTCTGTTTTCAGGTTGTCCAGTCTGGAGGCAAGAACATTGAACTAGCTGTTATGAGACGTGATGAACCACTAAAGGTTTGTATTCACCATAAAAAGCTGCACAACTTAGACATGACAAATGACCTCTCCCTTTGTAACTTCTCTTAAATGTATGCACAATCAGTTCATTTCCCAAATAATTATTGGTATTGAATAAGAGTGAGTAGAACTTGGATCTTTGACAGATGCAAAATATTGTCTCGCTGTAAATGCAGAAGCATGAACTATTTTTGGCAGGTGACTGATTACTAGGTTGTTCTATTCAAATTGACAGTTCTCCATAGCAGTAATTGTAATGTAGACTGGATTTGCTTTTTGGGATCCTTACCTTAAATGCATATTTTCTCCTCAGATTTTAGATCAAGAGGAAATAGAAAAGTACGTCTCAGAAATAGAGAAAGAAAAAGAAGAAACCGAAAAGCAAAAGAAGAAGACCTAAGACAGAACCCTTTTATTTTTCTATAAAATGTCAAAGCCACAATATGGTTTTATGAATAATGATTTTTCAAACCTGCAATAAAATGTGTACAAAATGGATTTGGAATGTAAAATTTGTGCTATCTGGGCATTAGAACTCCTTCAACTTTTTCATAAAATAAGCAGTTGAGGCAGATCAGTTTAATTAAAAGGCAATACAACAGAGCAGATTCTGCAGTGATTTAAGTAATCAATTTATTTTTCAAGTTTTAACATTAAATAAAACAGTGGATCATTTATGTGCATAAAATTAAGACTACTGCATTCCTACTCTATTGCCAATCTCGGAAAGTAAGCAAGCCTAGGCCAGGCCATTTCTGGAAAATGAGTCCTGTGAGAAAAACAGGTTAGGTCACCACTGTCAAATGTTATTCATCAACTAAGTGTCCCTCTGTGAGAAGCATTAGCCAAGACATCTAGGTTAACTTATCCTGGACATGCACAAGATGTACCTAACTTACCTTCTTAAACTGAAGTTTCATTTTACTGATACTTCCTACATAGCAGCACATGCACAGTCAGAAGGGTTAAAAATGTGGATGACTGAACCACTCCAGGAATGACCCCATGTGGGTGCAATGACAGGTATAGACTCAAAGCACATGAAAGAAAGCTTCTTAAATGGAAGTTAATAACAGCACCTAACTAAATCCAAAACATGACTAGAGGACCTGCACAGTATGCATCTGGGCACAGGCTGTGTTCAAGACTTGTCTATTCATTTAAAGGAGCATTACCTACAGTAGGTTGGTCCAAGCCTAAGCTGATCAGAAAAGATGACATGATCCCCGGAATTCACCTTACAGATATTCATAAGTTCAAATATGGTATTAACAGGATTCTCAGTGAGGAATCTCTGGCAGTTAGAGCTGGAAATTATCTAAGAAGGGAGCAAAGCGTAGAAAGGGACTGAATTTAAACTTTATCTTAACTTGGCCCACATCTTGCAGTGTCTAAAAGGTACAAATCCGCATGGTAGACTGAGGCATAAGAGTGCCAGGACTGATGGAGACGTGCCTGTTTTACATGTGATATTTTATCAACTTCGCTATTTGAAATGAAAGTCGGCACAGGAGTAGGACAATCACACTCTTTGAGTAAAAACACCAAGGGAAACCAAAAGGTTCAGCAAACATTCAGCCCACATTAATGCACAGTATGATGAAATACCCAAAATGTAATTTATGTATGTTTATTCAGCAATGGATCAAACATTTCCCTGCATCATTTACAAAATTGGTTACCTTCTCAAAATCCTTCAAACTAAAAAAAAAAAAATTATACAACACAAACATCCTTTCAAATGAATTCAGAATGAAGACACCCACTTTTTTTAGGCAACATTTTGGGTTATCTCAACCATCTTCTACAAGTTCCATTGCTTGGTTAAATTGTTACATACACTTCTATTTACAACCTTGAGGAAAAATAAGTTTTAAATAAACAATTGTCAATGTGCAGGTAATGCTTCATAGGATTAAATTCATATTTAAAGTTGGAAAAATTGCTTAGGAAATGAGTAGCAAGTAGAAATTGCTGATAATCAACTAGGAATATGGCATAAGTGTTCATTGTATAAGGGCAGCAAAACCAAAAGGAGGGGTTTTGGTTTTTAAATTTTTTTCAATTTTGTTTTTGGGGAATTTTTTGTTTGAGATTTACAAACTTTATAAGGTACATACATGTTTTTAAACTCACTTAAAAGCCTATTAATTACATTGTGGCATGGAAAAAAATTCCAAAACTTGAAAACTCACACCTAAACTCTAAAATTGGACGACTCCAGAATTTCCTATGAGAATCAAGCATCAGCTTTGGCACCAACTGCAACAGTAGTCTAAGCAGAACCCAGATCTTCAAAACCAAGTAACATGGGTCTACAAACCAACCCCTAAAAAGGATTAAGAATACTTAACCATGGCAGTCTAATCGGAGCATGTCACAAGAGCTTGGATTTATTCAATCCTGCACCCATGACCACAAAATATAGTATCTTACAAAATCTCACTTTTGAAGATTAAAGACCAGCAGACAACAGACTTTAAAACTAGTTTAGAGGGATTTGTAGAACTTGAAGAAATCCCAATACAAAAAAAAAAAAAGATTTGGACCGCAGTGCTGTTCTGCATTCCGAAATACTGAAGTCCTCTTCACAGCCTCCCACTGCCCACTTTTTGCATGGTAGGGATGCGTTGTGCCGCCCCTCTCCCTCTTCTGCCTCTGATGCCCCCTCTGAATCCACGGCCCCTCAAAAACCTGCCAGGAACCCCAAACGTCTCCACATTGAGCTTCCTCTCTTCGGCCCATGTTGTTCGTCTGAAACATGGAGATTTATGAAGTTACAGGCCTTGTCTGCATAAGCCAAAATGGCTACAAGGAGGAAGGCACTATAAGAAACTAACATAGCTACATAGAAACAGTAACTTCGGATAGTTCTTGGCCTACAGCTTTAAGGATGCACTCTCAAAACACTTTTCTTCATCTGGTTCACTTGTTTGGAAATGTGCACTAGACATCCCAGACATTGTTGGTATTGGTTTCCCACGGGAAGAAACAATTGTCTTTTGAAGTTATTTTCCATTTCACCATTCACCGTTATTTATGCTGCATACAAATAAAGCTGCAATAACTTTTCAGTTCTAGTTTAGCGTGTAACGTGTTGTACATACACACACCTTGATTTTAGTTCTGAAGAAATGTTGTCAAAGAAACACTTTGTCTTGTCATAGTAGCAGTTTGGCCCAAAGAGATCATCTTCCACTGAGTTCTCAATGTTCCCAGTATCAATTTCAGAATCCCCCTTTTCTTCCAGATCACCCTTCACATCTGCAGAAGAACATAGGAAAGTATTTTCAAAAACATATGCGGGTACTATTAGAACTTCATGCTGACCAATACATTTTGCCACCTAATATCAGTGTACATTCCTTAGTGAATCTCAAAGGACAGACCTTTGATATTCAGCTTGTTCTGCATTTCCTTCTCGAGATCTTCTTTGTTGAACTGAGCATTTGCTGTTTCAAAATCAAAGTCTGCATCGAACTGGAGGGTACTGGGCTTTGAATTTCCCACTAGAATTTGTCCTTTGCCACGGTTTCTGGACCTCCTGTTTGCTGTGTAAGGAGAACAATGCAATGATCAACTGCATTGTTAAAAAAGGCTTATTAACCAGTATCAAGCTTCAAAATTCAAACTGTTTGAATCATCTAATCAAAAACGTTTTGCTCGACATCCTAAACATTTAACTAATAGTGTATGCAAGCAGTTAAAATAATAAAAGTTTGAACTACTGACACTTAAGAGTATGATTGTTGATATTTCAAGAGATATACAAGAAACATTTCCAGAGGAAACTTGCTCCTGAACCAGTCACATCCATCTGAGGTGTATGCAACTCCTACTTACTCAAGACTGTAGGAGTGTCCACTAGTAACGCACACTTGGAAACCATGTCCGTATTCCCAGATGCAACTGTACTACTAAGGTTTATGAGCGTGCCTTCTCATCTTTACCTTGCCTTCGTCTCTGTGGTCTTCTGTTCACATCATTGCTTTGCGCCGTTTCTTGCATTACACCATGCTCAGGTACCACAGCATCTTAAAGGGATGAGACAATCTGTGAACTTAAAAAGGAATTCAAATATTCTATATATACACACTTTATATAGAAAGTATGGAGGAAAAGTGCTAAGTTGGCACAGAAAGTAGGAATGCACTCTGTATTAGAAACCCATGGAAAATGCACCTAGCCACTAATTAAAAAAAGTGAGCCTTAGAATTTCTCAGACGAAAACTGGTTTGTATAAAAATGGTTAATGTCAGTGTCTGCTTCTTCTCCACTCGGGTTTTAGATTTAGTTGTCCCTGCTTCATATTCCAAGTGCATTTTAAGAAGTTACAACTTGCCAGGTCACTGAGGATAGCACTGGCTACCACCTGAACCCTTTGCATATGCCTCTCCACTTCCATTTGACAGAAAAGGGCAGACTCTTACTGCAAAGGAGGACTATAAAAATTAATCAGGTAGTTTTGAAACCATGTTGGTGCACAAGTTAGTTTACAATACACCATGCATATATAGCTACAACTGTACTGAACTACTTTTAAACATTCCAAATGCAGGACATGACATCCAATGGCCACTGCTAGACAACCAGCAACCAGAGTATTCCAGGTCACCTGCCAACACTGATCTTACTTCTTTGGACCTGGGGAACCTCCTGTCCCATTTGCTGTGGGGGTCGTGGAAGATCTCTGTCCTGTTGCGGTGCTGCTTGAGGGGGCTTTTTGTATGCAGAGGTGTCTGGTGGGACAGTCTGTACAGCTTGCTCTACCGTAGGGGCTCGCCTCACTGGCAAGCTGTGAAACCCTGTTCCTGCAAGACACCACATTGGGAGTGGCAAGAGATTCAGAGTTGGAGATAATTTGGAGTAAATACGCTACAAACATTGAGGTTCCCACAAGCAAGAGTTTTCCCTGCAGATACTAAAATTATAACGTTTTAAAAAATTACTCTTAAATACCGAAAAGGCATTTCTACAGCCAGACCTCTTAGGCTTTGTCTAGAAAGACTTAAGACTATTAGTAGTTCAGGTGGGGAGCTGCATCAGCATGCGTAGGCTGCAAAGGAACAAGTAATAGGTTTATTCCATGCTGAAAAAGAAAGAATACAATGTTTTGGCTGTGGAGCCTTCTTCAGGTGTATTAAGAATATTAGTACAAGCAGTGTCACACCTTGTCCATTTACCCTGGACACTGCTCCCCTTCCCCTCTTGCACACTGGAAGATGAAATGGAACACAGCAGGGATGAGTTAAAACGCTACAGTTATGGAGAACTGACCCCACTGGTTGAATTAAATGGGTATAAAGTTCAAATTGTCAGTTTAGTATCCCATTTCATCACTGAAGAAACAGAATGCTGCCCAGCCATTGTTGAAAAGTAACCCCATGTAGCCATTTCTTGAAGGATGTGAAGTGTCCTAGGCAATTTGCTACTTGCAGTCAAACACGTTCCAAATGATGACCTCCATTGTGACTTCTTACGATTAAGAAAAATGCACCTCCACCCAAAACTTCAAGAGGTAACATAATAAACCTGTAGAATATTACACTTTTCTTTAAATGGCAATGGTTCATGCAGTCAGCTTTCATCTCAAAAGGTAATATCTTACAAAAGAAATGAAGCCATATTGTCCTGAACTGTGCAAACCCATTCAGTCACCATTACCTCAAACTAAGAGCTCAACACTCAGTGGCACTCACCCAAGCCCAGTGCTGCTGCATACTGCTGATTGAGCAAAGAGCTTGCTGCTAACTGGCTGTATGTGGGCATCATACTTCTGTAGGGGCTGAAGGGAACCTGGTGCTGGTAAGAGGCTGATGATCCACTAAGTGACGACTGCAAAATGAAGAACACAGCTATACGTTTAGATTAAATGCTAAATGATAAAAAAACATTTTCAATAAAGCACTTAAAAATGCATTAACGCATCAAAAATTGCATTATTCGTATAAACTTTGGATGTCTGACGTGCAATGTTATTGAAAGCCATTGCATATTAATGACACCCAACAGTACAGTTATTCGAACAATAAGCAGAATCAGGCGCACAAACTTCGGCCACGAACAAGTCGCGTCCCACATACTTGCACAATCGCCGGGTCCTGGGGTAAGGCATGGAGAGGCTTCGGAGGCTCGCACACCGTTATGTCTTTAATATCACTTCCCCTGAAGATGATGTACTCGTAGATCTCGTCCCTGGGAGGCACTGGTCTATCTGTAGGGCGGCCCTCCGTCCCGAAGGATCGCACTAATCCAGGGAAGGACAAATGGCATTAAGACCGTCGGTTCCCACTTCATTACTTACACACAGGTAACAGGCTAGCACCTAACTCCTAAAATAATGACTATCCCGAAGTAACATTCTTAAGAACCAGAACTTTTTCTTGCTTTTACGCCGGTAAAACAATCTTTAACTTGCGAACTAGTCTCTTAAAAGCTTTCGCATTCAAAGGTACCGAAAGGTAACTGGTTACTGGCGCCACCACCTCAAACGAGGATACAAACACCCCGCCTCTCAAACACAATCATTTCACGGGCACCTAAGAGCGTCTCTGTTACATCTCCTATAAATAAACACGAATAAAAAGGTTTGTAAGTTTCCACTGGACGAAGGAAAGCAACTGGTACTCACCTTTAGCTAACGCCACGGTCGAGTTCTCCGTATCTATGGTGTACAAAATACCCTCATATCGGATCTGGGCCTTGGATATGAGGCCAATTTTGCTACCAAGGTAAGGTGTTCCGGTACTCATGGCCGGTATATATGTACTTCCTTTACCAACTTGTAATTTTCAAAGGAGATTTTTTTTTTCCTCCACTCCTACGTTCGATCTTTAATTGTAGCAATGTTAACTTGTTAAGAACACCGATCTTAAACATCAAACTCAGCCGAGTGATCCGCCGCCCCATCTCGCACGGTTTTATAGAGAATTCGGCAGAAGAGGCTGAAAACAATCTATCAATCAGACAGTCAGACAGACAGACAGACAGAGGGTGCCCCCTGCCGTTTGGAAGACAGAAGTAAAGACTCTAGTAATGTTTCGCGTTTTGCTCAATGTCGTAACCCCCAACTTTGCACTTGAGCCGTAATGCGGTATGTTGGCTATTGGCCCTTTTAACGATTAACTGTAGAGCAAAGATCCAAGGACAGCGTTAAGAGGAATTGCATTTAGGACAGAAACTAGCTGCTACTTCTTTACACAAAGCGTTGTGAAGATCTGTAACACAGCTAATAAATATTTCCTTACATTTATATAGCTCTTTGCTGGGCACTCCACTCAAAACGCTTTACAGATAATGGGAACTCCCCTCCACCACCAGCAAAAGTGATGGCAGACACATATCAGCTATGGAGGAGAACACAGTAATAAAGCCAATTCATAGATGGGGATTATCAAGAGGCAATGATTTGATAAAGGCTGGGTGGATTTTTGGCCAGGACACCAGGTTAATATGCCTACTCTTTTCATGAAGCGCCCTGAGATTTTTAATGACCACAGAGATTTAGGACCTTGGTTTTACATCTCATCCAAAGGAAGACGCCCTTTTACAGTCTAGCGTCCCCGACGCTATACTGAGGCATTAGCACCCACACAGGATGCAGTGTGAGTGCTCCCTACTGGTCCCAATAACACCTTTTCCAGCTTTCCCAGAAGGTCTCCCATCCAGGTATTGGCCAGTCTCAAACTTGTGGTTTGCCAGCTGTGCGTTGCAGGGTGATCTAGCTGGTATCTATAGCTGCCTCTACACGGAGTTGAAACACATTTCCCGATTCCTTATGAAAAGGATTTATGAAATCTCTTGGTAAATAGTAAGATGTTATCACCTAAGACAAATCAAACTGACTCCTAGCCTTTTTTAACCTCAATGTGTAATGGAGTTCTTCAATACAATTAAAATGTCTTAGACATTCATATTAACACTCCCAGTCTCACTGAGTAAATTGTATTCACACCATTTTCCTCTGCATGTAGGGAGATTTAGGGAGATGGTCGATGGCACAAAAAGATAGAGAACGAGTTTTAGAGAACCGCTCAGATTTTATAAGTCTCATTTTATGTATTGGTGACTCCACTGTAACTACTACATGACTTACTATGTAAGTATACATGTATAATAAGAATCTGCATCTCCTCCATCCATGTAATTTTTTTTATATAGCCAGCACCTACATTACTCTGCAACTCACAACTGACAACCCACTGAAGCTCAGCAGGTGTGAGCCTGGTCAGTACCTGGATGGGAGACCTCCTGGGAAAAACTAAGGTTGCTGCTGGAAGAGGTGTTAGTGGGGACAGCAGGGGTACTCACCCTGTGGTCCATGTGGGTCCTAATGCCCCAGTATAGTGACAGGGAGTCTATACTGTAAAACAGGCGCTGTCCTTTGGATGAGATGTAAAACTGAGGTCCTGACTCTCTGTGGTCAGTATAAATCTCAGGGCATTTCTTAAACAGGTTGGGGTGTAACCCTGCCCAAATTTCTCATTTGTCTCCTAATAATCCCCAGTAAATTGGCTTCATTACTCTGCTCTCCTCCCCACTGATAGCTGGTGTGTGGTGAGTATACTGGTGCACCATGGCTGCCATCACATCATCCAGGTGGATGCTGCACATTGGTGGTGGTGGAGGGGAGTCCCCATTACCTGCAAAGCACTTTGAGTGTCCAGAAAAGCACTAAGTGTAAGATAATTATTAGTGAAAAGGCACCAATCTGGTGTCAACTCTGTTAAAAGACAGATGACAATGCTAGGCATGTTTGAGATCAAATAAGTATATACCTTTAGGGATAAAATGGACAAGCAGCCTTTCAGGTGTGTGTTTAGCAAACAAACAGTGAAAGATACACGACAACCAGTAAAAAACATTTTAAAGGGCTACAACATATTGAAGGAGAGACAGCTCACAGGAGAGAATACACCTATGTAATCCACGTGCTCTGTACATTTTCAGCTTCTTAGCAGGTTAGTTGCATATGATCTTGATTTTCAGTGTAGCTTATTCCAGTCCTGCTTCCTCTGGCAATGTCTTGTTATACAGACAATACACATCAAACCTGCGCTGAAAGATAAATATATTGAAGTTGCAGAACCCATTAAAAGTTCAAATTTTGACAAACAAAAAACCAGTGCACATTATTTTACCCCATATATCATTGCCAACCGATTCAGCTGAGGCTCTTATGCATTGCAATTTAAATTCAGACATGCATCTTCTTACTGCATTTAGTTTGTTTCCTGTATGACAATTTTATAAACAGTCCTGGTTAAGTGTCTAAGCAAATCAAGGAATAAAAAAATAAATAAAAAAGTGGTGTAAGCAAAAACATACCCGTTAATAAATTAACAATACAATAATCACAACAGTACAAGATAACTCATTTTATGTGGATTTATTTGTATGACAATTTTGTCCAAAGCGATCTACAAGAGGAAATGAAACATTACAAATCTTAATTAAATTTATACAAAATGTACAAATTCACACTGCGGGGGGAAAAAAACCGAGCAGAATACGTGCTGCGAATTGGGGGCGTGAGCATTTTGAATAGATGGGAAGCAGGACGTACAGCTACAGCTTGAAGAGGTCGAACAAACGGAGAGAAAGGAGCAGCCCTCATTTTTACTAGGACTGGGAAATGATTCGGCTTCGAACAAGGGCTAAAAGGAACTTTAAAGTCAGACACGGGAGACTGTCAAATCGACACCCCGAAAAGCCTGGCCGTGCTTCTCAGGTCGTAAATGGGAGCACAGGATAAAACCCACGTTTTCCTCGGATGAAGCGTCTAGCTTGGGTACTGCCACCTTTCACTAACGCTTCACATCTCCGCTACGCGGGTGTAGCATCTCGGAGTCACGGTCTGTAAATAGTCTGTTTCATACAATGACAGCTGCACTGACATAAATATACTTTCCCCTTTTGTTTAGTGGCGGAGTGCAAGAATTCATTTATCAACAAACAAAGCCAGCCATGCCCTCTTACACTACCGCAACACAGGTCAGATACGATTCAAACAAAAAAAAATAATCAGTTCCGGTCTAATAAAGGAAACCGCTTCTAACTCGCACCCACCGCTGAAATACACTTTACAGTATTACAAGATAACCCCCCAGTAGTCTCGACAGCATGTACTACACGCTCTTGGCAGCACTCTCAGGTGTGGCGCCCTCACACACTCTCTGAACTTACTGAACAAAAACAACGCAGCCATCTTGAAACGCAAGTACAAAAAGCCGAAGCGCCAAAACAGAAAGTCTCTTCGATTTTTGCCAGATTCACAACTCCAAACCAGCATTAAAGACTCATAAACATCACTGCCTGTAATTTCCAGTTGGGTCCGTTATTTGCGTTAAAAAGTAACGCGGACACAGCAGCTTAATACTATTATACTTAAACCCCACCAGCTCCTCAACCGACGGTGCTGTATCATCCTCTACTTTCTCGATAATGACGCTTTCAGCCATTTGTCCCGCCCTTTAAATCTGGAAACAACCAATCAGAATACGCCGGAATCCCTATCCCGGTGACGTTTCACACCATTCGCGCGTGCGTGAGGCCGGGTAACCCCCCCTCAGCTCATAGCAGAGTAAGATGGCGGCGGGCTCCGATTTGCTGGATGAGGTTTTCTTCAACACAGAGGTGGACGAGAAAGTAGTTAGCGATCTGGTGGGGTCCCTGGAGTCTGAGCTAACCGGCTCGGGTCACGGGAACACCGACATAAGAGGTCAGGCGGTGGGGAACCACATTGCAAGCCCTGGGGTAGGAGGCAATGCCAGTGTCCAGGAGAGCAAATTGGGACTTGCACAAGATCTGGCAAAAGCAGGTAATGTAACATAGTAAACGTTGTTTTGGTTTTTTTCTTTTCTGTTTCCGAAAGAGAAAATGTAAACGAATGCATTCATTGCCATGCCTTCCAATGTGCTGTGATATTTTTCCCTCTCACTCTGGTTTGTTTCCGTTCCAACAGGGGCTGGAGTGCAAGGGGGTGTTATTAATAATACGAGGTCCCAGGGTTCAGATATGGATGCAACGACAGGGATCACATCATCGGCGGGGTCGGAGGCATCAGTGGGGCTCAGCCAAGGCAAAACTGTGGCTGTCAGTGCCATGGTAACCGCTGTGCCCAACCACGGAGCGGGCAACGGGAAAATCGGGACGTCTGCGGTGCAAACTTTGAATGGGAGTAATGTAGTAATGAACTCTCACAATTCAGGAAGTGCCGCTGTTTTCCCCGGGACGCCAGTATCAAGTGCTACGACTTGCAGCAGCAGCAGCACTGCACCTGCTGTCACAGTTGTCAACAACGGACCTGGATCGGTTGTGAAAGGAAATGTAAACGCTGTTTTGCCTTCAGCCTCAAGCACTGTTATACAGACCTCTTTCGTGAACGCGCAGAATGTTGTTACTTCGACAGTGATCTCGTCTCAGGCGACAAGTTTGGGAAGTGGACCTACAGTGACTCTAGTGCGGCCTCCGATGCACACGACCGGACCGGGTACGACGCAGAATGGGAGTACGAACAGTACGGTCCTGACTTCGGCGGTCAGTGTAGCGAGCCTGCCCGCCCCGGTGGGATCTGGAATATCTTTACAGGCTCCGCTTTTAAACAGCAGCCCGTCGCCCGTGAGCGCCGGGGCGCAGGTGATCAAGTCGGAGTCCCCCAAAACTATCATCCAGACTACAGCGCAGGCAGTTGCGCCCGGTGTGGTGGCGAACGCCGGTAACTTGACTCTTGGTCAGCCTATGCAAAACGCCCTGCAGCCAGGACCTCCACCGCAGCCCAGTTCGGCCGCGGCTATCGGGAAGAGTCCGGTCTTGCAGAATGTAGCCAGGACTTCCACTCCGGGAGCAGTCGTGCCCGGTCCGGTCGGAATACGGACTATAGCTCCGCAGGTGTTGGCTCCCCGCCTGCCCCACGCACCGCAGAATCAGCCAAATATCCAGAACATCCAGCTGCCTCCAGGTAAGCCTTTAAAAGTTTGTTTTTATTATTGAACACACCAGCAATTCTAGGTTTTTTTTTTCCCCTTGAAGAACTTTTAAGAGCTGTCCTTAATTCTAGACAGGATCCTAACTCCTTCATAACTTAATAGGGACTGAATCGCTTTTAGTTCATGATTAGCTCAGCGTCTGAAGCCCAAGACAAATTTCATACACACACGCTGTCTGTGTAATTATAGTCACGGTCTTGCTCGAGTAAGTCAAGAGATTGCACTTTTTTTTTTTTACCTTTTATCTTTCTCGATCATGTCGGTCGTTTTATTTTCATGAACGATAATGTGCGTCTCAAGAAGAGCGTCTGCTGATGCCCCTTTCGGATAAGTCTGTGAATATGTGTAATTTTAAAGTTAGGGAACTGAAAAAAAGCTTATTTATAGCCTAAAGACCGAAAAGCTAAGCTGGTATCCAAAAGTTTTTGGTTCCAATGTGTACGTTTTATTAAGTACTCCGACTTTCTTTCCTTCTTAAAGTGGCTGCTGCCACTACAACCTAGCAAGTAGAAAGTTTGGCTTGGCAAGTCCTTAAACCGTGACAATTGATGAAATATAAACAAAGACAATGTATTTTGAAGTTTGTAGAGCAAAGGTCATTATTGCACGTTAACTGTGTGTAACAATCAAAATACAGCAGCTATTCATAAACCCGTTATGTGAATCTATCCAAAGCTGAGGCTGGTGTTTCTCTCTTGGATAACTTTTCAGGAGAGATGAAGTTTGAGCAGGAACTTTGCAACTTATCACTTTGCAAGATAAACCTCTCGGTAAACATAAATGGCAGTTTAATTTAACAATGTAGTAGTAATAAATGACTCACAAACTGTTAGAATCAGTAACACAGGTGGCAGAAACAGTGATGACTGACAGAAGCAGTCCTCTGTGTGAGGTGTTTATTTTACACACTAGTAGACATTACCCTGTGTCCTCTGAGCTAATCAGTGTTCCTAGGACCTCTTGTGCCTTAGACAGAAAAGTGAATACTGTATTATTTGTCTGTATGTGTGTTTGTTTTTACTTTCTTCGGTCCTTTCAAATCTTGAGTGTTTAAAAGCTGCTTGTTGCTGTTGCTCTAAAGAGATTAATGATTACAGTGAGAAAAAGTATTCAAAAGAGGTATGTAGGCCTTATGTGTAGTTAGCTCCACTGTGAAGAAAGTTTTTAACAGTAATTCAAAACCACAGTTAGTCTAGTTACTGCATCTGCTGGTTTTGTTCATTTTATTAACAATCTGCATACCTTCGTGAACAGTTAGCCCACACAGAGGCACTGACAGATTGCTTCGGTGGTCTCTGATTTTGTACCTAACTATGACTATTAAGCATGAAGGAGGCTTAATTTCAAGCAAGTTGTTGCCGTTGTTAAACTAAAGTCTGGATTAGCTGGTGTAAAAACGAAGTTCATGTATAAAGGGTTGTTTAATCCACCGACGTAAAAAAGAATGAAGTTGTTGGTGGCTATGCTAAATGCTCCAGCTCAGAAATTGTGGTGGAAGAAGATGTGATTTCAAACTGCCAGGCACACTTACTACTTCACAACTTCACAGCACTCGGGCTATATATTCACTTCTCTTTATTTGTAATAGTGCAAAGTAGGCCTGAGATATCCCTACATTGAATACTTCCTTTCTTTCTTTCTTATCCATCTCCCTGGGATATCAAAATACTGAGCTCAAGTCGTGTGATTCCAAAAAGTGCTAGGTGCTAGGTGACAGCGGAGTAAGAAGTGTCAATACTATATGATTTAGAATGGGTTTAAGTAGCAATGCAATATGATGATTTTAGTACCTGTAAGTAAAAGATATAACCGTGCCCCGATTAGGGGATGAAGATTACCCGATTGTGTCAGTTGGAATAATCAAAGGTGGCCTGTCGACGAGAGAGAGTGCCTGAAGAATGAGATGCTCTGTATCAGCATCTGCAGTCCCGTCCCGGGAAACCAGGAAACCGGCCCTCCGAGGTCATGTCTTGGAAAGCTGTGGGTCTTCTCACTGGCCCGGGACTGTCGGCTTCTTCTGTGTGGTCGTCCCTCCACGGCAGAAGCTACAGCACGAAACGTTCCGGGAAGAAAGAACACGCAAGATGTTACACGCTGACAGCGGAGTGACAAAACTTGCTTTCTTCTGTGGGCCAGAGAACATTTGAGGGGGTGGCACGGTAGAGTGTTTTATTCACCCTTGATTGCTGGTTTTCCTGTCCGAAAGCAATGTGCAGAGCCATCGTGTTGAGCAGTATGCTGACTGTTATATTTTTCGGAATCTCACACCAACGGGCAGACTGGTGGAAGGGCGATGTTATTAGGAGGAACCGTCTTTATTATTTTTTTGATTAGAACTCGTTTTTTGGGGTATACATTTCCAAATCGGAAAGGGCCAGTCATGAGTTTTTCACCATCCCAGCTCCAGCTCCCAGCTGTACCTTCGGCACAGGGGCGAATGAGAAAGTGAAGATTAGAATCCTCTGACACTTTCCTGCCACTTGGCATTTTACATATAACAAGCAATATAGGCAGAGGCATGTTGCTATACCATTAGCTCTGCTTGCCTCGAGCACCCAGGAGGTCCGCGCAGAAAATCACTGGGACTGAGCTACCCTCCATTGACCGGTCATATCTCGACCGCTGCCACAACCGGGCACGAGCTATACTTCGGGACCCAATTCCCCCCGGCCACGATCTGTTTTCACCCCTGGGTTCTGGTAGGAGGTATCACAGTATCAGAACACTGACAAATAGATTCAAAATCCGTTTCTTCCCCCCAAGCAGTCCACATCTTAAACAGCTCAAATTAGCACCTGTACATATTAGCACCTGCACTTTAAGGTACTGCACTGTTTGTACTATGTCCTGTCTTGGCATGATTGTAATGTCTATTGTCTAAGTTTGTGGTCCATGTCTGTTTGTTATTTGTGCCTATTTTTTTTTCTCTAATGTTACTGGTTACAGCTGAACAAGTAAGCATTCCAAAACACTTGTTGTACTGTATATGGCAAATAAACAAATCTTGAATCTTGAGGAGAGAGCTTTAGATAGCTGACTCCACTAGGCCCTTGGTGACACTCAGTCAGCAGTGCATCATGACTTGGGAACTCCAGGAAAGCCTAGTGTTCTGGCAACAGAACATCCATGGGACCAGCTCTCCAGTACCACCCTCAGGAGAGACACCTTTGCCAGCTTCAATGGGTGGGTGGCGGAAAATCCCAGGGTCATGTATCAGGCCCATATACATGGCTGCTCTGCCGGGATTCAGTCAGTGCTCAGAGAGGTCAAGTCCGATATTAACTTTGAAAGTTTTTCATTTTGACAGTGTCACGGCTCATACTGAAGACCTCAACTAATATTTTGATCATTGTGCTCGTTTTGTGTGATTTGCTTTTTCTGTTTAAAATATGTGATTAAATTGATTAGTCTTCATGGCATTTTTTCAGTATATAAATATAAACAGATCTGTACAAACACTGAATTGAAAAACTTGTTTTATTCTCCTCCACTCTTAAGCATCTTGTGCTATGGCATGTCACCATGTTAATTTATATAGATAAAGGTCTTGAATGAGCTGTTTAGATAAACATTTGTTGTGTAAGAGACAAATCTGAGGTTTATGAGGTCAGATCCTGTTTAGATGTTGTCCCTGTCTCTGTCTGCAGTGCTGTGCAGTGGTTTGACTGGTTTCAGTGACAGTACGCTAAGCTAGTAGTTCAATTTGCTCACTCATGTGCATTTAAATAGGCTGTCAGTGATAGTGCTGTAGCAGGAGTAAAAACAATGTCCCGCTGTGTTGCAGCCCCAGAGAGCAACTTCCAACTACGCTAAACTGTAAAAGCTATCTGGGGAATACCATTTATCAAAGCTCTTAACTTTAGTGTTTGAATTGCTTCTTTTCACATAAAAAGCAGTCAACTAATTTACTTAATGTCCTGAAAACAAGTTTGTTTTATTAGTTTGTAGCACAATTACTTTTGCCTACTGTTTTGTGATAGTGTCTGCATAGCTATAGTAAACAATAATGTACTGCAGTTGATATTTTTAAATTCCATATTTGTTTAGTAGACTAATACCAGAATTTAATAAATTTAGTTGACCTAATTGTTTCATTTTATTTCCTGGGCCTCGTTTTCTTATTCTTTGATCATCATTGTTTTCTTACATGAAAAACATGCTGTTTTCTTTTTTGTCTTAAACAGTAGAAAAGTAAAATAATTAGTGTTCCTAGATCCTAGTGCTAAAGATACAGGACTTGAAACTTAATAATGGATTTTGTGGTTAGATTTATAACATCTGTGTTAAGATAATAATTACAAGTTTTTTTTTTCTGGTTCTGGATGTTGTCCTACAAAAAGTATTTTTTTATACTGTATTTTGTGTCAGAATATTTGGGTTTTCTGATGGGTTATATGGATTTACATATTGCGTACTATAGTATTGTCTAACTGATTTTTGAATCCTTTATTAGTGTGTATCTTGAAGTGCTCATAAAAGTATTGTGATGAGGGTTGTGTGTTTAAAGTAAAAATTAGAGACTTGGATATAACTAGGGAACCACAGTTTTTCTAATGTAGTACAGAGATTTTAACGCTTGTCATCATCTACTCATTGATCAAACTGGAGAGCAACATTTTATTTTGAATCAATAATCTGAATATGTCCTCACAAAGCATGCTTTCTTAAAAGTCACTTTGTATTTCTTTTAAAAAGTGTGTTAAACTGGATCACCTGGAGGTAATTTGCATTTCAGTGTGTAAAAAAAATGCAAAACACTTATATGTTTGGCTGTTTGATTTAGTTCATTTTTCGATTGAAATAATATTAGTACTATATCTAAATTTTGAACTATTTTATTTCTGTGATATATCAGGTTTTAAAGAGATTGTACATTCTCTTAACAGAACATCTGTTAAGGCAATCTAGTGTTTTATTAAATAAAATACCAGTCTGACTTTACAGCAGCGAGGCATAAAACAAATAGCTCTCTTACAAGAAGATAATAAAATGTATGAAACACAGTAACATTTTTAATGCAAGCCTGATAGACCAAAAGACCAAAACACTAGTGAGCACACGTTCACATGTTGTGTAAGTAAGTAAAATATCATATGGTTTTATGTGGTATAATTTTCAATTAAATTAAATTCAATTAAAATAAGGATGACTTACTTTAGATTTATAGTTTAATACTAGGTTGCATAATAAAACTATTTTATTATATAGTTTTTATGACAACTGAGAAGCTGGTGTAAACTTACAGTTGCGTGCAAAGGTTTAGGCACAGTCAAATTGTAAGTTTCAGTAAATCTCTAATCTTTCTGCAAATTTTAATGTACAATAAGTATTTATTTACAGTTGTATAGATATTAAAAATAATAAAAGAGTGAATATGACAAGTGCAAACATTTGGGCATACTGTCAGTCAGTACTAAGTAATACCTCCACTAGCATTTTTTTGTTTTATCTGTCCACAGCACTTTGTTCCAAAAAGTTTCTGGCTTATAAAGGTTTTGTTTTACAGACTTTAAACATTGACTTTTGTGATGAGATCGTAGGAAAGGTTTCCTTCTGACAGCTCTCTCATGCAGATCATTTTTGCGTAAACAACACTGTTGTGTGGACCTGTGGACGGCTACTTCAGTGTCGGCTAATCTTTTCTGCAGATCTGTGGATTCTGCTTTGCAGATCTTACCAGTCTTTGAGCAGTTCTATCAGAGATTTTTCTGGGTCTTCCAGATCTTGCCTTGACTTCAACAATTCCCTTTAAGTTCTCACTTCTAAAGCATATGAAACAAACACCCATCACAAGCAACACAAATCTGTTTCTTAATAATGTTTCTCACAGATGAAATTGCAAGCATTTAGAGATCTTTTTACAGCCTTGCCCTGCTTTGTAAGACTGAGTTATCTTTATTATCAAGTCCTCGAGAGCTGCTTAGAGGAACCTATGGTTGTTAAAAGCAGGCAGAACAACATCGCAGCCTCAGAGGTTAAAAGGGTCAAAGTGTTTCAGAATTGTCTTCACCAGACGTAATTTAAGGTCTAACGAGCCATAAGAAATGAATCGACTAGAAGGGTACCCAAACTTGTGCACATGCCACATTCAATTTTTATTTTTTTTCTGTTAAAATCAGTAAATAATAATTGTCCATTGCTATGTTTAGAAAAAATGTCATGTTTAAATTTGTACCATGCAGAGGTTGCCAAATTCTTTTCACTTAAAGATTCAATGAAACATACAGTTTGGACGGGACTGCCTAACTTTCTCACACAATTGTATAGTGTAGGATGATACATAACACTCTGTGGTGCTGTTAGTTCCCACTGAAAGCACCTGCTCTGCATGATATAGGGACAGTTCCCAACTACTTTGGAACTATGAAGGGAAATTATAGTAAATTCAGGTTGCATTGGAAGGTGTTTTTCATTTCTTATTTATACTATTCTTTATTTCTAAATCAAGAATTGCTGCATTTCAAGATAGTTGTCTTAATTTGAACGTCATGAAGAAGTACAGTAAATGTCTGTACTTTTCCTTGCCTCTAAACACACCATCTGATTTGTAGGTCTTTATTGTAGGGGGTGTAGATCAAATACATTAAACCCCCAGTTCAACAGACTTTGGATTTAACGGACAAAATCTTCTGAAGGGGAATTCTGTCTGTAAAATTGGAAATACCGGACTTTCCAATAACTGTTGGTGAATTGCTTATGATGGGTATTGTTTGTGTTTCAAATGCTTTAGCATATGCATAAAATGAATATTTGTTTAGAATAACAAATACGAAAATGTTAACACTATGCAAATAAGTTAAAAGTTAAAATAAATACTACATACATTTAAAATTCAACAATATCAAAGGTGCCCTGTACAGATAGGTCAGTTGCTTGTCATGGGCGTTTGTTTCATATGCTTTAGAGAATTTTATATACTTTATGATTTTATATAGAAATAAAGGGCTTTGGATACAATATGATAAAAGGTACAGAAACCATTTTAATTGTGTTTATTGCATTTTTTAAAAAAAGATAAATCAATAGATAAAGAAAACATTTTCATATAATTGTGTTTTTGGGCTGAAAAGATATATCTGTCTCTTTATATTTAACAGAATATTGAACATGTAGTAAGGTTATTTACCTGAACAGGCAATGCAGATAGAAAATACTAGCTTTCACGAATAAAAAAACCCAAACTTCTATTCGATTTATTTAATAACACTTGGTGCATAGTCATACAGTACCATTTGTAATGATCACTCTGTGTTTAAGAAAAGAACACATACCCCTTTCAGAAGGTCTATTCACTTCTTACGTATGAACATAATAGTGTGGAATGAACAGTTGACCTCTCTCTAAATTGCATGAGCACATTGGGTACTGCTGGTGTATTAAGCTTGTTAAAAACTGCTACCATTTTATCTTCTTACCTGGAGCACTTTTTCCCATACTTTAATGTTTTTCTGTAGCTCGTAAGTGGTTACAGATGGTGATAACTCCGGTTATGACTGTGTCCTGTGCTTAAAAGTTGTACATCTGCAGCTAAGCAGAACAGACTGGCTGGATCAACACTATGAAGCAGATTTTCATTTTTGTCATTGTGCGTAGTTTTTCTTCAGCTGTACAAAGAAGGGGATTTGTGACAATATTTCAGTTGGGTGTTTTTTTTTAATTTGTATTTTTCATTTAGGGTACATGTACTGCACATGATCTCTGCAAATCAGTCATTTATTTTAAACCTGCCTTTCCACACTCTCTCCTTTAAAAGATGATTATCAGGGGAGTTTCCAGAAAAGTGCAGTATAAGTGTAAGGAATTAATATTATTATTATGTTGGTTGTGTTAATTGAAGTCACATTTGAAGGGTGTAATTTACCCCCAAAAAAGGAAACAAATATTAGCAGCAGCAAGGAGCTTTTCCTCCTTAAAAAGGCTTTTTTTGTGTCCCTGTGTGTGCCTTGCAGGTATGGTTCTGGTGCGCAGTGACAGCGGCCAGTTGTTAATGATCCACCAGCAGACTCTGGCTCAGATGCAGGCCCAGTCCCAGTCCCAGAGTGCCATGGCTCCTCGCCCCTCCACACCCACCAGCACTCCCCCTGTCCAGATCACCTCAGTGCAGGTAACTACCCCCTAGCCGAAGGGCCCACCCAGTCCCTCTGACTGTGCTGGGTGGCAAATGTCTTTCATTCTAAGCATGTGTCCTCTATCTTTTTCTCAAAACTTTAGGATAGACTTACAAAACAGTAGAGCTGCTTGTGAGCAACTCAGTGTCTGTATTTTCCTTTTAGGACTTGTTGAAGACTAGGTGAAAGTCAAATCTGTATTAATAACCATAACTTAATAAAACCATAGAATCCAAAGAGTGTACTTTCTTTTTCATATCATATCTTTTTTTGGTGTACTGATGTTTTATTGAACAGACATGGCATAAGTAATGATAATTATCATTTGTGATCAGTAGTTGATTCACTAAAGGGGCATCTGCTTAAGCAAACAAACTAGTAGCATGTATGGGTTTTTTTTTAAAAGAAAGTTGTGCATCTGCAAAGTGGTTTGATCACAAGTAAAGACATTGCTCTACATGTGTTTTTAACACCTAGGGTTATAGAATATTTGAGTGCAGCATTTTTGCTTAAGGCAGTGTTTTGTTCATTATAACAATACCCTTTCTACACTTAATCTCCAGGCCCCTGGAACTCCAATTATTGCACGGCAGGTCACACCAACGACGATCATCAAACAGGCCTCTCCTGCACAGACAACAGTGCAAGCTACCACTACACTACAGAGACCTCCTGTCCTACAGGTACAATGCAACACTATGAGCAAAGGGTGATTATGCAGATTATGCAGACCATGTTGCAGAGGTAACAACCATTTTACAAAATATTTTTTTTGTAAAATCCCCCATGTTTCTCTCACCTGGGAGACAGAGGAGGGATTTCTTCCTTGGGTTGAATTACTTGGTATTCTTGTTAGGGATCTAGTTAATTTCTAACTGTGTTGCCTAACAGCCCTTTGTCTCCAAATCAGATATTCAGTCCTCTATTCAAACTCACTACAAGTATTGTCCCCGACAGGATTGTGTGATAAAAAAGTTATTATTTATTGTTGTGCTGGCTGGTCCAGATCTGATTACAGGTGGGCCATATGTGTTTTTTTTATGGATGTTTAGCTCTTTAAATTTTGTATTTAAATTGAAATGTTTTGATATCTGAATGAAGGCCCAGATTTAATCAGATCTTTGACCCTATCACCAATGTGAATTGTAAACTGAGACTTTTATGGTAGGTTGGATTCAGTGGGTAGAAACAAATTGCCTCTGGCAATCAAAAATTCAGTGATCAAATACTGGATGTGCAAAAATTATTGGAAGGTGGATCAAAATTTGGATCATATTCAGGCTTAAATCTGGATTTATATACCAGGAGATTTGTGTATAAAATATTTACAATGGCTTCCCAGTGATCCTGAATTGGAAGAAGCGTTTAGAAAATGGATGAATGGAAATTCTAATTTCAGTTTTATTTTTTTACTTTAGAAAAAATAAAACTGTTTTAAGGCATAATGAAAGTTAGCGTGATGATATTTGTTTTTGCAGAGATTTTTATATGTAAAGACTATTGTAAACGTTTTATTAGTATGACAGCACAGGTTGAAAGTTATGTGGTTTTTCTTTAGATACAGGTTTTACCAACTTTCTTGTAAACTTAAAAAGGGTTCCTTTAATAGCTGTTTTATGGAGGTGCAGCTGTATGTACAGCGAATTTAAGAACACATTACGTTCTTAGCTGCAGCTTCCGCTAGGTTTTTTCATTTAACAAAAACCTTTAATATTCTCCAATGATTTCTCATAGAAGCCTCTGATGCAAGAATAAATCTCAAACTGTTGTAGACAGTTTATTTAGTCCAAATAATGCTTAACATGTGCAGTAATCCCATGGTTGACATTGCTTGCAGCAGTACTAATGACACTAATTTAGGAAATCACAATGACTACCACTTCTTTGCACAATCAAATATCAATAATCATCAAAGCCCAATGTAATAATCTACACCAGTATGCGCAGAATTTAAGAATGTGAGAGAAATTCCGGAACTGTCTGAGGCTGACTGAGAAAGAGCGAGATCAGGCCGTACGCAGGCTCGCGCTCTCTTTCTCATCCTCTCCTCCGTTAGGGAGCAAGCACCACAGCTCACAGATCCTTCTCGAACTCGCAGATGCTTAAAACTGGGGGTCATGCGCGGTAAAATGGTATACAGAAAATTCTGTTCGAATACTCAAAAGTACTTCAGGTAAATTTGATAATGTAATGATAATAATGTTTCTTTATTAGCCCTATACAATTTCTTGCATTAGGAATGCATCTTTTCGCATACCCCAGCTTTTCTCCATGGAGACACAGACACAGAGACAGGGAGAGAAGCGTGGGGTCAGAGCGCAGGGTCTGCCATTGTACAGCGCCCCTGGAGCAGTTGGGGTTAAGGGCCTTGCTCAGGGGTCCAACGGAGTTGAATTCCTCTGCCAGCCGCGGGATTTGAACCGGCAACCTTCCAGTCACAGGCGCAGATCCTTAACCACAGAGCCACCGCTCCGCCCTAAACGTTACGTCCCTGGGTGGGCTCGAACCACCAACCTTTCGGTTAACAGCCGAACGCGCTAACCGATTGCGCCACAGAGAATTTGTGTGTAGCAAGGGATTACTGTATTCATCTTTTAGCTCTATAAACTCAACAATGTAAACCCAGGGTCGAACCGTTCAACTACTAGTGATGGGACTAAAATAACCTGCCCACAGCCCCGGGACTGTTCAGTGTCTAAATTGTGTTTTTTCGTTCAAGAATCCCATTGTGCTTGGGGGGACAGCCACAGCCACATCAATTGGGGCCCCGTCTTCAGTGCAGCCAGGGGCCTCCCAGCGGACCGTAACAGGGGCCACTGGGACCCCAGCCACCACTGCAACGGTAAGAGCCAGGGTTAGCGCATGCAAACTTCTACTTGGGTTCGTGCTTCCTTCTTTTCTTTTTTTTTTAAATATTGTTCATTTCCGGAGCTTAGCACTGGACAAAATGAGCTCAGTTCAACGAGAATAAATGAGCACGTTTTATTGTGCCACCCTTAGTTAGGGGAAAAAGTGGTGCTGAGAAAGTGCCTGTTACTGGTTTGTATGGTCGAAACCTGTTACTTTACACAAGTATCTCATTTACACAAGTTTTCTTCATTGCGCCCATCTACAGTGATGCATCTCCTTCACTGGGAAGCAAAGCGCTCCTTGCTAAAGCAGTAAGTTGTGTGCCTGTTGTTTTACATCAGTTTTGTGATGTATGAGCAATTCCTCTTGTGGATCACAAGGATTAGGAGTGGTGTGTGTGTTTTTGGAGGGGGGGAGTTCAATGTTTTACTCCAGGAATTCGACTGACCTAGTTTGAATCTGCACTGTGTTAAAACTGAAAATATGAAAAATGAAAACTTTCTTTTCTAGCGCTATAGGGTACATTGTTGTTACAGAGATGATAAGCAAGAAGTGTCCCCAGCCACCTGCTGCAATTCATTTTTAAATTATTTTGTTATGCCCATAGCCACTTTCCAAGTTTGAATGTCCCTGATGGGACGTGGTTTGGAGAGGATTCTGTTATGTTTTCATGTTTTCTTTTAAATTCTGTTTTCAAAGTCAAGCGCAACATACTTACCATTTTAAATAAGAGTCCTGTCTGTTTAAGTACTGTACTGGGTCTTTAACAGTGAGTACTCATTGTCTGCTGTATCATAATATTTGGCTGATGCCTGTTGCCTGACTTGAGGTAAGCACTATTTGATCTGACAGGATGACATCTTTCATAAGATTAACTAGGCTTCAAGGTGATCTCAGAACACAAGATGAAAGAGAGTATTGTCCTCACATCTGACAATAATTGCTTATGATGTTAATTAACCCTTTAATGGAAAGAGACTAGGTTTAACATTCTAAATCAATGGAGTTGTCGTATTAGTAATGTGGAAATTATTTTGATTATTTTGATAATTAGTCAAATTTGTCTGACAGTAGTTAAAAACCTTTTTCCGACACACTACTGAGAGTGGATTCTATGTTAATTTGGAGGTAAAGATTAAAATATAAAATATTTAAAAAATAGGTAATTGCATCTAGAAATTTTAAAATAAAAACATGAGAAAAATGTGTCTGCACAGTGATGGAAATGACAGCAATACCCATTGTATCCGTGTAGTATGTTTAATTTAGCAATTTAACAAATCAACATGTGGGCTGTTGACTTCTTCATACATATCTGACCAAGTGTTGTTTGCTTTGCAGGAAACATTAGAAAATGTGAAGAAATGCAAGAATTTTCTTTCCACGTTAATTAAGCTAGCCTCAAGTGGGAAACAGTCTTCAGAGACGGCTGCCAATGTGAAGGAACTGGTGCAGAACCTTCTGGTAAGTAAAACTGGTGCTCCTGACTGCACAGAGCAGTCATGGATCTTATGTATAGAACAATATCTTAAGCTTCAGCTAAAAAAAGCTTCCTGGAAATTTCCAAACACATTTGTGTGCTGATTTGAGTATTTTCTCAAGTAGGATCTAGTGGATCTGTATGTTACCCTGATTCGTAGTGCCTGCACACTTGACTGCGCTTATTTTTTTTCAGCCTTCTGACTCTGTAATAAACAGGCTGAATTTGTAAGGTTTCACATTGCTCTCCGTGCTTGCTTTACAGGAAGGAAAAATCGAAGCTGAAGATTTCACGAGCAGGTTATACCGGGAGCTCAATTCCTCACCTCAACCATATCTTGTGCCTTTCCTCAAGGTAAGGGTGGTGAGGTGTATATACAGATAATCCAGGAGCAGGAAGAGGACAGAGACATACAGGGACTGTTTTGTTTGTTATTATATTCAGTAACTCGTTCAAATGAATTGTATTTAACACAAAAACAAATATTTCATCCTCATTGTTGTGCAAGAAGACGGTAAAAGGATTGGCTTTCTTCAAGATTCCTTCCATTTTTATCATACAGTAGTTGAAGTGTGTGATCTGCAGTGTTCTTTCAGAAAGAGATCCACAATGTATATAGGAAGGATGATAGCACCAATGTAAATCGATTATTTGTTTTATGAATATGAAATACTTGATATCCTGCATGTCCCGGACTATCAATCTGGGATACAATGTGGGCTGATGCTGCAGCGTCTCTTTTTTTTCTTGTTTTCCAGAGGAGTCTCCCTGCTTTGCGGCAGCTCACCCCTGACTCCACTGCGTTCATCCAGCAGAGCCAGCTCCAGCAGCCCAGCACACAGGCCACCACCACCCTCACGGCAGTAGTGCTGGGCAGTACAGTGCAGCGGACAGCTGGCAAAACCACTGCCACCGTCACCAGCACCCTCCACCAGCCCGTCATCAGCCTGGCACAACCCAGCCACACCAAGCCAGGGCAGCCGGCACCGCTGGTAATAAAGCATCTCATACTGGAGGGGGCTTGGGAGTTACCTCAGTTAACTCACTCTACCGAGTCTCTGTACCACTTAACCTTTTGAAGATTACCTCCTTTTTAAGCAGCACATAAGATATTTTAGTTTAATCCCAGAGTTACAGGTTACGCCACAAGAAAAGCTTTTATCTTTATGTTTATTATTAAGTACCGAGTAGCTTGTGTAGTAGGCATGCTCACTCAGGTTACAGATTGGCCCTGTAGTCCAGATGTTTGTGGTTTGAGCCTGGGTAGTATCCAGGATTCCCCAGGTGATAGTGAACAGCTGGCCAAGCACAGCTGCTGCTGAGGTGGCTTTTGTAAGACGGGTTTTCTGAGAGTGCTGCCCAACAGTGACGTCTGAGATGTGCTGCGCACACCTGTGTGTTTGCAGAGATGATGGTGTTCCTAAGATGATAAACAATGTCAATTCCATATCGGACGCTTTTGATGTGTGACTATAGCTATAATTATTTCCGTTTAGTTTCATTGTAAAGTTTTGGAATATCGCTATCATAAATGTGTTCTCTATTAACATGTAATGCTCGTTTTTGGCAGATTCTTCAATCTCAACAGCAGGGGACAATGGTGCGGCCCCAGGTGACTTTGACACAGACGCCCATGGTAACGCTCAGGCCTCCTCACAGTCGGATAATGCTGAGTCCGCAGCCGGTGCAGGTGAAACAGCTTCAGACAGGTAACGTGAGATCGCAGGGGGTCCCTCACCTGTTCGAGACATCAAAGGGCAAGGTGCTGGGGTCAGGATAGGACGATGAATTTGGGGAAAAAAAGGTTAAAAAATAAATCAAAGGCTGACTCATAATAGAATAACTTTATATCACACAATATCGTGTGTTGCTGAATCATCCCAAAGAGCTAGTATTGAAAATATGAACCAGTATCTTTAGTTTACACTGTTTTAAGAAACATCCTCCCCCAAGGCCAGTTCAAATATTATATTGTCCATTTCTTTCTCTTAAATTTGTGATGAAGTAAACTAATTCTAAGTACAGCATTAAAACGCCAACAGCTCCTATGTTCTAAGTCCTGGTGGTTAAACAGTGTTGTTTACAGCAGCATCATTTTTCATTGTGTAACAAGAAGACTGGAGCTACTTCATTGTACTGGCGACCAGATCTGAAATACTATCGTTAAGACTTGAGTGTGATTTTAATAAGTTATATATTCAAATCTCTCTATATATATATTATAGTTGTCCATTTACAACTTCATTATCCTGTAAGCCACTTGTCCTCCTGGTTTCTGAGTTTTAACCGATTTTCAGTAGATGGAATCTCATTTCACTTTGACAGGCTAAGCTATGAAAGAACACAACTGCAAACTGCTAACTGTTCAGTTCCAGCAGTTCCAAAATTCATACCATTTTTTGTGAGTCCTGAGAAATGCTGCCACCTAGTGCTTGATTACACACCTGCATGAGTGTGCACTGGTGGGCAGTAAAGTACTGTACTAAGCTCATGGCAGCAGCCATTACTGTCAAGAACTAATTTCATTAGGAGTCAAAATATGATGTTAGATTAGGAATTTATATTTAGATACCTATGCAGGGTTTAATTAAAGTGAAAAGAAATTGCTTAGTTTTAAGTTACAAAATGGTATTTCAATAGATGTAGATTGTAAAGCTTTAAAAATAGTTGTATGGAATTAGCATGCAACGTGACCTTAACATAAATTAAAAGTTTCCAGCACACTTAAGAGCTCTTATCTAGACTTTAAACAAGATTAAGTCTTGGAACTTTTCTTGGTGAAGCCGTGATTTCTGAGTCTCTCATTTTAGAATTTGCTAATAGCAGCTCTTTCATCAATCCATCTTTTGCAGTCCCCATGGTAAAACAGACAGTATTACCAGGTACCAAAGTGTCTCCTGCTTGTCCAGCACTGACATCAGCAGCTCAGAAGAATAAAATGAAGGATGCAGGGGGAGGGTCTTTCCGGTAAGCAAACAGGAGGCATCATACATTTCCTAACAGAGCCCCAGCCTAGTATTCTCATCACAATATTGCTGGTAGCTGCCCAGTGTGGCTGTACCAGTCACAGGCTGAGGGACAGTGTATACCCGCCAGAGAAAGCAGAGTGTCAACAGCTCTTCAGTTTAAAAGTGGAACATACGTGCGATTTAGATCTTACAAGAAATACCTTCCACGGTTATGGTATTTTTTAAGAGTAAGCAAGTTGCTGTGAGTTAAGGTAATGCCGATATACTGTATACTTATCCATATATACACCTGTTTCACTGGTGAAAATATAGCGCAGCTGCACTGATAAGCTGAGAAATAGAGGGGAAACATCAATCCGTGACTGCTGACTTTCATTAGTGAATTGCTCTATATTGTGATGTATATTAAAGCTTAATTATTCAGCATGAATATGGCCTGTAGGGTATCCTCAGGTATGAACTTGCTATATTAGTAAGGATTCCGACTCCTGTCAGAGTTTAGAGGTTTCTCAGAGTGCAGTAAACCCAAGCCCTGTTAAATTGCGAGTCCCAGGCACATCTGTAACTTCAATACTCGCTGAGGCAGATGATGCAGCCAGATCCAGAGCTTTAATTGATGGTGGCAGGAGGCCTGTCTTTTCTTGATTAAACCAATCAAATGTATGTGATGCACTTAAGCCTTTCCAGATTCTACTTTAACTATGTGGTAAAATCTCTTTGTTTTTTGGGCTGTAGTGTAAAGGTTCATAAAGGCAGGTTTTTCTCTTAAGATATTCACCGTAATGGAAAGAAAATGAAATGTCAGCGCATTTAAATATAATTGTATTTTTTTCATATTCTCTTATTATTTGTGATGTTTAGTTTTTAAGGATAGAGTGCTGTTGATATATAATTAAGTTAATTGTCTTCTGAAGACCCTTTTTACCATTACCATTTTACAGTGCACTAAAGAACCCTGTTTAATACCTGAAAGGCAATATAAGATACGCACCATACTTAGTCTGGTGCTAATTCACACACCTTGTACACACCAGCCCTGCTCATAACTGCTATTTCTTCCTCTTCAGGGATGACGATGACATTAACGACGTGGCCTCGATGGCCGGCGTCAACTTGTCTGAGGAAAGTGCCAGGATACTGGCTACGAACTCCGAACTTGTGGGCACGCTGACGAGATCCTGCAAGGACGAGGCCTTTCTCTTCACATCCTCTTTACACAGAAGGATATTAGACATAGGTAATAGTCATCTGTCTTTGGTCCTTGCAGTATACATTTAAGATTTCATCAAAAGCATTATTAATTTGTTGACCAAAGAACTGACTATTTCATTTTTTTCATGACCTAACACGTGGATCCATTAACCTAAGAGAAAGACTTGAATGTACCATTACAAAGAACATATCATCTTGACCCCAATAACTTTTGACAAATTTGATTATTCATATGGTTAACTGGTCAACTGTTACATACATGTTTGTGGTATAAAATATGGAATACTATGATACATTTGTGCCCCGGCTAGGTCTGTTGGTAGAGCATGAGACTCATACTCTCAGGGTAGTGGGTTTGTGTCCCACGTCAGGTGCCAGGTCCTCCATGTTGGAGGTTGGGCACATGGCAAACAACTCTGTCCAGTAAAAACCAAATGTTACGGTAACATCAACAGGACGTTGCTGCCACTATTTGCTGGAAGGCATAACAGGCAAACATCCATCCATCCATAAATGATTCATTTGTTTAGCATAATGCTCAGAGTATGTGCTGGTTTGATAACTAACTGTATATTTTTGGGAATGAGATACAGTAAAATTATAGCGAGTCATGTCCTCTGTTGTTTGAGATGATAAATATACTTTCATATAATTTAAAACATTTAATTTCTGTGTTTCTCATGTCTTAGTTACGTCTTGATCAAGGAGATCCCGTAATTTTTACCCCTAGCATATAAACTGCTTGCAGATATTACGTGTGACCCATTATTGTGATGCACACAGCTTATTTAGATATGGATTCAAAATCTAAACTATTTTATTTGTTCTCTTTAGGTAAAAAATATGGAATAACAGAACTTGGTCCAGAGGTGGTAAACTTTGTCTCACACGCAACACAACAAAGGCTGCAGAACGTAATAGAGAAAGTGTCAGAGATCGCACAGCAGAGAAATATGTCGTTCAAGGTAAGACTGGTACATCACTGGTACACCTTTATAACTTGTAAAAGCAATGGCTATTTAGACCATATGTTATTGAATATGAATATCATTGATGTACATGTTGGGATCATGTACAGATCTGTATAGTTGATGTAAATCTTAGTTAAGAGCATTTTTTAAAATACATCCAGGGTACGTAAGTCACAGGTTTTTTCCATTCTTTTGTAGAATTTTGCAAATGATCCAATGCCATTTGTATGATTCAACTAAAGTGAGCACTGTGCAGTTTTGAGTGCGCGGCTTGGGTCCTGATCTCTAGCGGTTCTGTTGCAGGAGGACGATCGGTACGAGCAAGTCAATGATGTGCGCTCCCAGCTGAAATTCTTTGAGCAGCTAGATCAAATCGAGAAGCAAAGAAAGGAGGAGCAAGAAAGAGAAATCTTAATGAAGGCAGCAAAGGTAAGGGAATGGCCTAAAACAAACAGGTTTTGTTTTAAAATTTTAAAAAATGCAGTTGGATTTTGCCTTGGAGTCGTAACTATCATGACCTTGCAGTGGAAAAACTTTTTTTTAAGAAAAAGAGTTTACACTCATGCTGTTCTATTTTTTGTGCCATGTTGCTCGGAATCACAAGTTTAATTTAAATTTGGATTTCTTTTGAGATTTGTTTTCATTACTCAGGATATATTAATCTTCTTGGGAAAAGTCATTGATTTACAATTTAAAAGCGCTACATTGAGTATATCTGACTCCAGTGTGATACAGTTGAAGCGACAGTCCAGATCTCGAATCAGAACACAAGCCTGTCTTTTTCTAACATTCATCTGTGAAGAGCTGTGCGAGCTGGTGATGATATGTTTGTACTGTGTGTTGTTTGTTTGCAGTCTCGATCTCGACAAGAAGACCCAGAGCAGCTCCGGTTGAAACAGAAGGCCAAAGAGGTAAGCAGATCCTTCAAGACGATTGAAGCGTGTGACGTGATTGTCTTTCCTGCTTCGAAGTGAGTGAAGAAAAACAGTTTTTAGTGAAGGGAATATTGCTTCACAATTTCAAGTGTACATTTTCATTATTTTCTAACTTCATAGATAACAGAAGTGATTGTGTGTCTCCTAGTGATGTACTGAAACACTCCTGATGCAGTCTCTGTCCTTGATGGAACTGCGAGTTAAATTCCCTCACTCGAAACTGTATTGTGAAAGGGGGGCAGCAGGGGTGCCAGAGCTAGCCTTGACGCGTGTGCGTGCTGTTTCACAGATGCAGCAGCAGGAGCTGGCCCAGATGAGGCAACGGGACGCCAACCTCACAGCACTGGCGGCCATCGGGCCCAGAAAGAAACGGAAACTGGACTCTCCAGGATCTGGGGCCGGAGCTGAGGTACGGCTTTTCCACTTTTGTGTTCCTGTTTCACTAATGTAAGAATCAGCACACGTTATAGGAGTGTAGAATACTGTAGTAGAATAAGTCAAAATAAGTATCAATTTAATCGGGACAAATCAAATCACCTTAAATATCCTCTACAAACAAGCAAAGTGTATTATGGATTGCATCTCTCACCCACTCCACTGTAAGTGCACACTTCTCCCATCTGGGAGACGCCTCTGTGTCCCCAGGTGTCATACTAACAGACACAGGAAATTTTCCATCCCCACTGCAGTCTCTTTCAAACAATGTATCGTAACTATCTTGCTGTAACACTGTTGCACTGACTTCTTGGTTGGTAAAAGTTTGTCTGTCATTGTGTTATGTTGGGAGTGTGCTGTAAAATCAATTTCCCCAAATGGGACAATAAAGCATGAATAGAATCCCGGTTAGTGCACCCGAAAACTATACCCATGATGAGCTGCAAGCCCTGTAAATCAAATTTAAGTTTTATTCAATTTTGTCATTCCCAAGATAATTGTTTTCCACAGTGAAACCAGAGCTTTTGAATCTTGGAACGTGTTTCACGTTTGTCTTTTTAACTTTATCACCTTCTATAAAGAGCGGTGCTATACTGTTCTGTGCTTTCTTACTGCACCTGATATTATCTTGACATTATATACAGTAAATTATTCTTACTGACGTACTAATAAATATGGAAGCTTGTTAAAGGTTAAACTGTTAATTTTAAGAACAAAGGAAAGTTTTGATTCTATTGTGTATTTTATGCCCCTGAATTGTCTTAGTTTATGGCTCCCTCTTCTGGGTTAAATGTGTTACTGCATTGTCCTTTATTTTTAGAGGTCCTGCCTCTGGTAGTATTTTACTCTTGAGGTGAGGTTAGTGGTTACAGAAATGTGCTAAGTAAATTAATATTCAGAAACATTTTCATATCTATTTTTTACTAGCACTGTAACTTCTTTCTCATGGAAATATTATTTTAAGATATTTTGTCTTCAAAGTGTTGCTTAGAACTTATAAGGTTCAAAAAGTGGTAACAAACTATAGCAAAAACAGCATTAGTTGCAAAGGAATTTGAAAAAATTAATTAATTAAAACAGCAGACTTGTACTTGATAAATAAGGAAAATAAGTAATAACCATCATTACAGAACATATGTCTATATAATTAGAGCTTGTTTACTATTATATTACTCTGTTCATGGAAAACATTCTCATTTACTCAATTCAAGTGACCATTTCATGCAATTCGTGCTGAATAAACTCAACATTATCAGTCTACATCCTTACGAATTGGAGTGAAACAAGGCTTATAATATGGCACGCAGCACATCAACCATGTGGAGATTACATAGTGCTAATAGACTGTAATTTACAATCACCTGTAAGTACACATTGTTAGCATTGTTTTTAAATAATTCATACAGAAGACAATATTATCCAGGGGGACTTAGAAGAGTTGACAAGTTTAATGCAGAAGAAAATTACATAAACCCTGATTGGATCTAGAATAGCTGTACTATAAAAGACTCCATTTAATCAGGTGTTCAGTCAGATTTTAGAACTAAAATGTTCTTCAATATCAAGATTCAATTATGTGTTCATTTTATGCATTCATGGGACTTTGTTGTTTGTCTATCTTTTAATTCATTTTACAGAGCGCACCTTTTTTTAGCGTGCAAAAAGTTAGTGCTCTTTTTAGGTCCATTGCCTTTCCATCTCTTTATCACAGATTTAGATTCTAGTAAAGTTAACAAATTAGTGAAACACATGCGGAACAAATAAAGGTAACAAAGATGGAAGCAGCAACACTAACAAGCAGACTTAGAGCCGTGGATGGAGCAGACACTTTGGCAAATTAAACCTAACATGGACAAAAGTGACCCATCCTGAATGTATGCAGACAAACGGAATGTGTTATACGGGTGACTCTAAACAGCTGGAAGCTACATGTGAAAGGGCTCTGGAGTTTTATACGGATACCTCTGTATCCTCAACACTCCAATGTGGGGACGCAGCAAAAATAGCAGAATGTTTGGTCCAGTTTTTCAATGCTTTCGTAAGACCGCATTTACGCTATTATGTTCAGTTCACGTCCCCATACCACAGAAAGGGATATTTTAAATGTAGAAAGAGTATACAAAAGAGGCGGTAATAATGAGTCTTGGTATCAAGGGATTATTATATGCAGATATGCAGAACTAAAACTCTTCAGTCCAGAACAAAGGAGGCAGAGAGAACATTTGATCTATGTGTATCAAATGGTAAGAGGGATCTATAGATAAGGCCAACCCAAGAGACTTTCAGTCTCGGCAATGAAACCAGGACACTGGGTCATAAATGGAAGCTGAAAGGAGATTCATTTAGGAGGGAGAACACGTAATGTTGTGAATATCTGGAACAGGCTTCCCAGCCATGATGAGAGGAAGGCACCAAACCGGCTCTTTTTCAAAAAGCAGCTAGGGGAAAATTTAGCCACTAAGACTAGAAAACGAGCAAGATGGGCTGAATGGAGTCCTTTCGTTTGCAACCTTCCTCGAGTCCCACGGTCAAGGGGCGGGCCCCTTCGAGTGAGCGGCAGGCCGTGCGGGATGTCCCGCTCGCGAACGTATCGCCGCGGGCTGGCTGCTGGGCGTTCTCACAGGCGCTGTCTCCTCCCCCCCCGCAGGGCTCGGGCTCCCACGCGTCTCTACCGGGCAGCTCCAGCGCGGGCGCGTCACGACAGTTCACACGCCAGCGGATCACTCGCGTCAACCTCAGGGACCTCCTCTTCTGCCTGGAGAACGAGCGGGAGACCAGCCACTCGCACCTCCTGTACCGTGCTTTCCTGAAATAGCACCGGCTGCTGGCTTTCTGTGGGCAGGAGGCGTTCATGGGACTTTCCTCGTTTGTGTCTTTTAATAAATGATATATATAAATTTTACAGAGAGCGCCTTTTTGTAACACGCAAATGGACAAATGTACAAAATTATACATAAAGAAATCCATTTTATATTTCTGTTTATTCAAAAGGTTCAGTTTAAATTTCTATAAAATTGTTACTGTTTTATTATAACTATTATTTTATTACTTTATTATTATGGCCTGTGGATTCTTTTAACTGGACAGATAATTGTTACTCATCATTTACTGAGTTGCCTTCTTGCCAAAATAAGCCATATATTCGTACCTGATCTTACAAGGCTAAGCAATTAATCAGCTACTCGTTTTACTGATTTTTTCCCACTGTTTTGACCTCAGATTAATTTAAACTGGTGTGTTTTTTGTATTTAAGATTTTTAATCAAATTAATGATTATTTATCTGTCAGTTTGCTTTAAGTGTTTGAATTGAGAAGATTATATAATCTCAATAGCTATTGTCAATTTAACGCATGGTTTAAAGGCCTCTTGAGCCTACGCAATTGTCCATAGTTTGAATAAAAAACAACAAATTTGATACATTTCCTAAAACATTTTTAAAGATGACTTTAGTAAATTCTTTGCATAAATCTAATTTAATTGCACTGTTTTGGTTTTTCTATTAAAAACAATTTGATTCAGATATGAAAGATGTGTCACTGAGATTGCCGAACTGTTTTTAAATATGAATCAAATGTAGAAGATAATTTCTGGGAATTATTGCCAGTAATTGTATATAACTTTGGCACATAAAATACTATGTACACCATAATTATTTTGCTAAAATGGACTGCATTCAATTACAGACCTACTTTCAAGCAAACAAGAAGCCAGAGGATAGTCCCCCATTCTTACCTATTTTTTTATTAAATATACTAATTGTTTCTTTATATTTTTCTCAAGTATTGTATTACAATTGTTTATCAATAGTACTTTTATGATTGTAAATACTTTTGTTTGTAATTATATGTTGGTTATTCAATGAACAAAACTTTTCAAATGCTATGTTGTTCAATGAACATTATGTGTAAAGTCAATGCTATCCAGTATTTTTACCAATGTCTGGTAACTGTTACACTTTCCCCTTTGTCTTTTACAGAGAAGAAAGAAAAAATTAAACTCGTATATATCCCTCTTTTCATGTAAATTTTGCACAGTCACTTGTTTATATGTAAATATTTTACCTAAAAAAGTTTTTAATTGCTATTGTTTTATATAGGATTGAAAGAGAATTAACTCCTTCATTAAAAAAAACAAAAACAGAATCTGTCTGTGATTGTTATGTACTCTGTCATATTTTCCTGTTCTCATTTGGCTATGCTCGAGGTAGAATGACCTGTTCTAATACCATTAGCATTAAAGATCCTTCAGTTTGTGTTTTAATGTGGGTTATGAATCAAAAACTTAGAATAGTTTGAATTTCTGGGCGTAAAATGAATTTATTGTTAAAATGGAAGACACAAGGTGCACACGAGGTCCTAGTTACTATGATGTACCATTTCTGTAAGAGGAATTAAAAACCCTCCCTGCAGTGCCAAGATTGAGACAGTAATTTTAGAAAGACGCTAGATGGCACTCATGTTTCAGGTCGGTTTCCTCACTAAGTGAGTTTTGTCGCTTCCGTTAGCTAAAAAAGCTTGCCTGGAGTCTGTTGTGTTTGGAGGGGAACTTAATGACTTATCTCAAGTCCTCGGCTCTTGTTTGTTTTCCTCGATACCTGCAATCATGAGCTCATGCAGCATTCTGTAAAAGACTTCAGTAACACAGCAAGATAATCCTGCCTTCTGATTCCCATTGTTAAGAAGGGACCTTTTCATCTCGGGGGCTCCACTGCTGTGTGAAGCAGCTTCTGTGCTCGGGTTATAATAAGATGGATTCAAAGTTCATATCTGCCGCAGCAGAGATGATCATTGTAGGAAACCAGGGGAAAAATATCCTCACCCAAACACGCTGTCTCTGAGCTGTTTCAATTACTGTTTAAATACAAATCATGACTTCAATACGTTTTAACTGCGACTACATTTTAAATAGAATGCCAATAAATGCCAAATGTTAGAACCTCCTTTTTGTTTTACCACCTTGCGGTCATATAGTATACTGATGAAATATGTCAGTGGAATGCATAAAAGCAGAACTCTTCTTGCACAGACAGGAAGTAATTTGAGAATTCACTGACCTTAAGTGGAAGACAGGGGCCATAGCCCTCAAGGAATCAAATGACAACGGTTATTTCTTTGCATTTCACATTCCAGTGCTGTGTAGTTGTGAAGTTGTCAATTATTATTATATGCCCACCCAGTCTGGAATTGCCTCTTGCTAATGACCGCTTCCCATACCCATACGAGTGGGATAAGCACTGGCAGACACATCTCCCACATACAGTACCCACCTGCCAGCGCCATTCATCTCTGAACAGCCTGCAAGCTCTACAGTGACTGGCAGAAATGTTCATGCCGATTGGATGAGCATTGCACACTTTCGAAGTTATGACACTGCAGGCCTGCAGGGGCCCAGGAAGTTCCTGGAATGACTGTGTCGGATGAGGCAGGGCTGACTAATACCCCAGCAGCGCTCTGACAGATGTGCGGTGCTTCATGGAAAATCCTGGTCACAGTTGTTTACTGACACGGCCCAGGATCAATTATATTAAATATATATAATTATTATACCAGTATGTAGTATAATCATAATCACTATGAATCATAAAATAATTCACCAACCTGGACAATGTCTTATCTCAGTAACAATTTTGCTTAATAAATTATGTTTTAATCTTAAGTTTTCATGTTAATATTAAATTGCACACAGGAAAAAATGTAGTAAGTAAAAATATATATATTTGACAAAAGTGGATGTAAAGTTTTTCACCCCAGAATAAAGACTTTTGTGAGTTTAATGCAGACATAGTTTTGTTAGATTATTAGTTAACATTATTTAAATGCAAAGCTTTATCTTGTGTTGTACATGATGTTTCAAGTATTGCATGTTTACAACATATTTAAGCTTTTCTCAAATTATTAGCTACTCTTTGAGACAGCTTTATTAGAATACACATCTCAATAGACCTTTGTCAGTTCTTTCAAACCAGACATTCATTATGCAAAATCATCACCCAGTTACTGTAGCAGATATTGGAAAAGAGATATTGATTTGGGGAAAAGAATAATTTCAATGCAGAAAAGAAAAGTAAAAGGAAAGGCCCACTGTTGACTGAGCCATGGAAACTGGACCAAATGATAATGAACCATTCTTGTCATGTCTGGTGCAATAAACACTGTTAACATCTGTTAGATTTTATATAACATTGTAGAGATGTATGCTGTTTTGAAATTAAATTTGTTCTATTTGCAATGAGCCACATTATGCAAAGACTGATACAGGAGACATTTGCAGAGGTAGATAGTGTAAAAGAGTTTAAGAAAACTATGTTTTTGATTTACTTGTTGACTTCTTTCCTGAAATAAAAACCAACAAAAGGAGATTTTGTTTAGTATTAGACTATTAAGATCAGGTGGTTAGGTTCTACTCCACATTGTTCTAGATGGAAAAAAGGTTTTTGCCTAGATACTCATCAGTATCATTACTCCTGACCTGGCTTGAGTGCATTTTAAACTGACACATGTTGCTGAATGTAACTCAACATAATCTCAGGAATAACTGAAAAGCAGGGATAATATATTTTCTGTGATTCGCATACATTGTTAATTGTAACTCAGAAACACCCATTCATGGTAATAACATAGGGTGACCATGGCTGGAGATGATAAAATCGCCTGTAACACTTCTGACATCTGGGATACTGTGGGGGATGCACCTTGTGTGTCTTCTGCCTGCGTTTACAGGAAATGGAGATAATTGAAACTTATCTCAAACCTGCACTGTGATTTCTTGCATCCCTACATTAGTTTTCTAAGCACTGTTAATGCTAAGCACAGGGTAATACAAGGGTAAGAGATGCATTGCCGCTAATAAGAGATTTAAGTTACACAAGTGTTCACCGATTTCTAACTTTAAAAAGACTATACGGTATGTATGTTAGTTTTCTATTAAATTGACATACTTGCATAACTGTCAAATGTTTCCATCAAAAACAACTCCTTTGCCATCTAAAGGCAAACCATGTTTCATGTTCAACCATCTTTATTCATTTGTTAGCATTAGTCCTTGAAATAAGTAAGTGGAAGACATTCACTTGCACTCAGTCTTGAGACTAGCCCTGATCATATGAAGAAATGCACAACATGCATTTATTCAGGGAGAACCTTGACTTTTATATGCTGCCTTTTATATGAGGATGATGAACTTGATAAATCAAACCCTGTTAATTTAGCAGTGTGTCTGGTAGCCGAGTCTCAAACAAAAGCCTTGATATCACAACTTCAAAAAGACTACTTACTGTAAGTTGGTCATGAGTTACTACATTTATCTACTTCTTTTCACTGCATACAAAATATTATTTTACTGTTTCTCCCCTTTATATAAAATGGTGCCACAGAGGAAGAATTGCAAGGGATAAACCAAAAATTAAATCACTGATAAAAGTTTGGATATGTTGGTGGCCAGCTACATTTACCAGTATAGGTGTAAGTAAGGACTGCTTAGTACTAGAATTACATACAATCACAGAAGGTCTGTCCACTAATCTCACAAGGAATGTTGACATAAGTGACTTTGGCAGCTGCAGCTAATTAAGAATGGCTCCCTAGTGTACCCTATTCCTGCAAGACCGTCAATCTCAGCCTCCCATGAGCCTAATACCAAACTAACACATCATGTAAAAAATTCAAATTTGTGGATATCCACTTCAGTAAGGCTCAACTGATGGCATACTTTTGCAGTAATACCACAAATATGAACAAAGACTATAAGATTATATTCAGGAGATATTAGTATAATTAAATCAACAGGCATAAAAACTTCTCCTCATCTTTGAAGATCACAGACCACGGATCAGCAAGCACATAACCAAAGGTACATTTTCGTAAATTGTTTGTGCTTGCTCACAGTGATACTAAGATTATGTAATTCTTTGAGATGTTCATGACATCTTTGCTATCGGCTAATGAATGCAGAAACCTTACAAACACATATGTCTGAACAGTTGAATTATGCCTGTGTTGCCTCTTGATAACTTGAAAAATTATGTTTTTTTCAACTTTGGAAGCCTTGCCTCCTTACTAAACTATGTTAAATGGAGACAGTATACCCCCAGCCATTCTAAAATTCTGCTGAAAAAAATGTTTTGAAAAATGTTCCCTAAAAAGTGACTCAGTAATATTATTCATGACAAGGTAAAACATTCAAGAATGAGGACAGCTGCAAACGCATGTCAGCTGCTGTTGTTTTCTCTGCTCATAGTGCACTGGTGCAAGCCTTGCCCTTTGGGAAGACGAAAAGAAAAACACATGGAGAGCCTATTCCTGCCACCTGATAGAAAACACTCTGTAATCAGGAGCTTTGAAGCACCACATGCCCTGAAGGGAACCCCACCAATTACCTCTACTGAGCTAACACTGGTGATGAATCTGAGGGAAAATTGCTTCTCACATTGTCAGTTACAGAAGGCCATGCTAAATGAACGTCCAGGGAGATATGGAATACGGACGACTGGGTCCCGCATTTAATGCTCGAGGGGCGGTATATAATCCTGCAGGGGCTGTGGAGAAGGTCTGGAAAGGTTTTAAGATGAAGGAGGGGAGAGAGAAGGAAAAGTCTGAAACGCGATGGCAGAAAACTAAAAAAAAACAGTACAAAGATAAACTGAGCAAATCTCAGAATCGGGTGCTTGGTCAACAGTTTGAAATCAAATCTTAAGGCAGCCTGTTAACATATCTAATATCTGTCTAGTAAATGACTTTCCTGATCTGTTCATACTGAAGACCGACATTTAGTCAGCTCATCAACGGAACAGAGCCTTCATTTCTATTGCGAGACCGAGGTTTATGTGGAGATATTTAAAAGCAGCTTCTTTGTTCCTCAAGGAACAGGAGCACTTGGCTGTTAATGGTGATCCAACATATTCAACATATACAAAAGCAGCAGATGAAAGGTGTATAGTGGTACATTATATAAAGTGTATCACGTGCAATTCTGAAGACTGAATCATACAGTTGTTGTTTTTTCAGAAATAAGACGCTTTCAGAAGCTGATCCAGAAAATACAGTAACTTGACGTTCTGACACATTCCAAACACTTAAGAGCCTCCTTTTTTAGGGTTTCAAGTTTATGCATTTCCCTGTACACTCTACCCTGTGACATTCTATGG